TCTCATTTGAAATTCTGATATTTGTACAGTAAACAATAATAAATATGATAAACTACAACAACTGTGTTCTTCATCTAAATGAAATTAAATGAGATTAGATTACCAAACTTTATAGATCTAAATGCATGTCCCACTACTTAAAGAGACATGTATTATGACCAACTGGTAAAAAATAAAATAAAGTAAAAGTCACTAATTGAGATATGTATTTTATTTTACAAAGAAGAAATCTGTAACCTAATTCTCACATCCAACTACCACTAATCGGATCCAACTTCGACTGAAGATACTGGACTTAGCTTTCGTCTGTTTAATTTATTCATACTTGAACAAAGTTTCCCTGCAGGCAACGGACTCAGACAGACCAGTCAAACTGTTCTGGATCCTTTGAATTCAGATGCAGCAGCGATAGCAAGGAAGCTGGTTTCTCTGCTCACATAACCACCCTCTGACATCTGACAACAAACCAGATTTCCATCTGATTTAGACATTGGACCAAGGACGCGGTGATACCCATGTATTCATAATAAGAAAAAACACTGGTGCCACGATGAAAACCAGATAAAGAAGAAAAGAATTCCAAGTTTATGGAAGTGAGCGCAGGAAGGTCTCACTGATTCATTCACTGCTCACCAACTGGTGTAAAGAATAAAAGAGCAGGTCATGTCCAAAGGAGGAAAATAATGTCATACAGGAGAAATGAAAGGTTCAGTAACAATGAAATCTCATACAGGAGATATTCTGTAATTATAACCGTGACAACCTCGTTCATGATTTTTCACGTCATGTACTAGAACGTGATGTTTAGTAATGCTGCAAAAGTCGGAAAAGGAATGTGTTTATTTTCCAGATAATGTAGATTTACATGATAGCAAAGATTTCTGCCAGTTCAAAGACTGAATCCAGCACTTCTTACAAATTAACACAGTAGAATCACTTTTAAGACTCTACTATCTGATTCATTCACTGTTCACTCGTGGCTCTGCAAAAATAACAAGCCTGGTCAATAGGAGCAATTTAATTAGGTTCTGACAAATAATAGCTTCATTCTGTATCACGGACATGAGCACGATGACGAAATTCGGCGGTTAGAAATGACCAGAGGAAATCGACATTTGAATGTAATCCAACGTCGTCATCAAGATCTCTGAACACCTTCACTGCTCCTTAAACGTTGAGCTGAAAGAAGCAACAGAATCTGCGAAACTACCGGATTCATGGGACTCGTGAATTTAGACGCAATTGATACAGCGCCGGGATCGGAATCCGCAGCCAACCAATCATCGGGTGCTGTCCAGGGCTGCAATGACAACGAAGAGGTCACTGCCACTGATGGTTAGTGCGATCGTCAAATCGCAGCAGTGACATTCGATGCAGGACCTCATTCCTCACAGCTTCATGGTGAGCTCTGAGAACACCGGCGGATTAATCAACTCAGGTCTGCCGACTCTACCCACCTGGGTAGCAACACAACAGTATGGAATGGTGCGAAGATCTTAATGTAATGCCACTCCCAATTATGTGAAGCAGACCCCTGGACAAGTTCTAACCCATATGAGACGACGACCTAAACCAGTGTCCTAGTGAGCAGGACCACCAGTTTAGACCAGGTCCTGCGCACTCAAAATTCTTGTGCAAAGATGTCGTCACTAAGTTTATGGCAACCCATGCGAGAAAACACAGGTCAAGTGGGATCGACTGAAGGAAGATTTCTAGCCCGATCGATGAGCGTGTCTCAGACTGAGGAACCCACATCCCAGTCTGGAATGAATGGAAGTGTGCCGCACATGGATGCGTCGATACTCGAATCTTCAAGTCCGAGATCACAACATCGCGGTCCGGGAGCCGCATAAACTCAACCGATCGCTGTCTGAGCAAATCGAAGAGCACGAGAGAATGTGTGAGGATGTTGCCTTCCGATCGAAAGATTTTCCTGTCGAAGCCTTGATTAATCAGTTGTTTAGATCAAACATGACTGTGTGCATGACCGAAGAGCACGAGAGAATGTGTGTGTATGTTATTTTTTTAGTATTTTGGTATTTTAAAATTTAACATATATTTTATGTATGTATGTATGTATGTGTGTATACAGTTCTTTTTTTCAAGAAATGTTTTACCCAACTACCAAAATCACTCAGGAAATTATGGCTCTTCTACTATCCCATGAATAAATAGCTTGATTTGTGGAACTTTAGGATTCCATCACATAGTCCTTCTAATTTTAGCACATAACATAATTTTGCTATACATGATTTATCTTATCTTCTATGATAAAGGTCTCACATTTATTGAGGTTTTTTACAATTGTTTTGAATACAACATTCTAAAAAATACAACCATACTTAAACCATACTTCATAATTTTTGAAAATGAAGAAGTTTGGTTAGACCTAAATTTTCTAAAGATAAATTTCCTAGATTATAAAGTATATGGTATTAAATACCCTAATTATAACAGTATAATATATTGACTTCTACCAGACTTAATAATTTTTAAAAGTCACTACCTATATTTAACTTTACTAGTGTATAAATATCTAGATAAGATTGAAATCATTATAACTCTAATAAATGCCTTTCTTGTATTCTTAATTTGATTCAAAACTATTAAATCTCTTTGTTCTAGGCAATAGTCACAATGGAAATATGTATCTTTATAATTGTATTACTTAAAGTTATATGTTAGTTATTTTTTGAGAAGTTTATATAGACATATATTTTTAATAACTTGACAAGATTAATAATTGCAATAATTGACTTTAATCTTGTTTAAATATTTAATAGAATATTTGAATTTAATCTTGTTTAAATGAATGAAGATAAAAAGTTCTAACAAAAATAAGACATACCATAGCATAAATGCAAAACGACTAAGCAATTGGCAAGTGCAACTTATTAATTTAATTTTCCACCAAAATAAGTATTAAATTGATAAACTATAAAATTAATCTTTGTACTAGCAAAAGAATTAGTAATTATATTAAATAATATATATAATTAATTATTATTTTTAAAATCATAATATTTTAAAAAATAAGATATTTTTTGTTAATTTATCAAAATAAATAAATTCTAACTATAATAGAAATATTGAAACTTGATTATTGTACAAAACTAAATTTATATATTATTTTTTATCTTTTTTTATTTTTATAAGATTTTTTATTTAAATCTAAAATTTAATTGTAGTTTTTTTTTTCTTAGTAAATTTTATTTATATTTCTCTTATTTCTTTAAGAAAGTTTTTATGTATCATAAAATATGTATTATTCAAGAAGCTAAATTAACACATATAGAAGTTATAAATTAAAATAGTTTTTTCTTGTGAACATGATATTTATTTATATTTTCTTATATGAGTACTTATATATTTATATTCATAAAAATTGATATTTCTTAGTATTCCTAGGCTTAAAACTAATCTTGGTATTTAAGATTTATTGTGGTTAAAATATTAATACCTAAAAGTAGTTTTTTATTCCAAAAACTTAAATATTTCTTATTTTTTATAAAACAGCTACCAAAATAAGTAATAAAAAAAATTAAAAAATTATATATCTATATCCATATATTGGACTAGAAACAATTGTGAAAACTAAAAAAAGAATTAATTTTATCTTTTATTTATTTAGCACCTAGAATTCTATCTAAATTAAACTTCTATATGCATTTCAAACTAGTATAGATATTATTACATGATATTTTGTCAAAATATAATAATATTTTATGATTACACAATTATCCTTTAAGAAAAAAATTAAAAAGTATTTAGAACAATCTACAACCTATTCCAAAATGACTTAGCTACTTCTAAATAATACAATAAATTTTAAAATAATTATATATATAATTTTAATTTTAATTTTAAATAACATAAAATTTTATTGAATGTTCAGTTTTTACAAGTAAATATTGTTGCTATAAATAAGATTGTAATCTATTCAAATAAGCATCAAACTTTTAATTTCAATTTTCATTCTTAACATTTAATTTTTTATTAAATCATAGTTAAGTTACATTTTATTTTATCCAAATTTAATAGCAAATATTTAGATTAGAACGTGATAATAAAGATACAACCATATCTTTTAATAATTTAATCCACTACATTCTAAAAATATATATTTTTATGATTTGAGATCCATCATGTTTTAAAAGTTTGTCTTTAATTTCCCCATGTTCTAAAAAATGTAGTATTTTAAATTCTTATTTATTTATTTATGTACAATAATAATGATTAATTAGTAGGTTCAATTTCAAACTATTTACATGACCATGAAGAGAAAGATGTGTGCAAAGAAATCAACTAGTAAAAAAATCACTTGTTTATTATTTACCAACACTTGAATTACAACAATGCCTTTATTCAAATACTTTTACCACATTGCAATGCAAATAATGAATAGTTTACCACTTTCCAACTGAGCCTCAAAGCATGACCTGTAATGTTACTCATAATCTTTGTTGAATTCAAGTTTCAACCCATTTTCCCAAAAGTAAACTTGACTATTCCTTTCAAACTTCTGCTTTATAGCCCTTCTAATACTCAGGAAAAGTAGCAGAGGGAACAGATCCTAACTTTGAAGGGTTGTACATATAGCCATAGTAAAATGAGAACACCAAAACCTATGTGGGTGCCGACTTTCCTACACTGCAGACTATAATGCACGTCTTACATCGCTGGTATCATAGCTGGTTTTGTTAACCTGCATGAAATTCCTGTTACTTGAGCGGGTCACAAAATGAACTGAATCCAGAATATAGCCTCTCAAAGGAACTCCTCAGACATTGTTGCAATTATTGGTGTGTATACAATTTGTCCCACATTGCTCATCTGATCCACATTAGAATGACACCGTTCAACATTCTGAAAAAGAAAGGGCAGAGAGCATAGTCGGAAACCAGAACAGGATCCAAAATGAAAATAATTGAATAAATCCATCCAACGTCCACGACCCGGTGCAACATAAGACGCAAAAAAAATCAACCATTCAGACGACATTCGCAAGGTAACCAACCCGCATATTAAAGGAATAAAGCCATACAGCATGTGGTGCAGTTCAGAGATATTAGACCGTTACACTTGGAAGTGCCTCAAAGTAGGCACCAAGACGGACATAATATTCACTACAATACTACAATCCAGGCCCCATTATTTGGACCCTAGAAGAGCATCGCAAGAATTTTCTGCTTACAGGTCTCTAATGATATGCATCATTGAGCTGCCATGCCAGATCGTGACCTCGTGGCAATTTAAAGCATTCTGCTAACCTATACAAGCCCCGAGGAGATGCATTAGGGTCTCTTGGCAAAGGATGCTCATACAGGATGCTTTACAGCACCCGAGAAATGGTCTCCAGACAAGGTGGCAAAGCTGTACAATGCAGCCCTTCATCTAAAGTTTTGCTGAAATCATCCTGTGGCAGCGATTAAAATGTACGATGGTCAAATTCTCAATCGTCACCCAAAAGTGTTGACAGCACAAGCTGTTGTACAAACTTGGCGCGCATGTTGGCATGCTTTCGTTTCTCCTCCAATTCTTCCGCAGTAAGTGAACTCTCCGCACTGCTTAAACGACAGAACAAAAAAAGTAATCTTAGAGCACAACCAAACGGCAAGACGAGGAATCTAGTGACAAAAACTGCGAGAACGAAAACTCAGGTGGTTGCACATGGGAATACCGCAGCATTGATTGCCTAGGGATCCAGCAGTATCAATCATAGATAAGGAATAAGCAGGTACACAATGAAGTATCAACTTGCCTCGCCTTTGACTGCTGGCTCAGAGAAGACAACTTCGCTGGTTGCTCCTCGACTACAACAGTGGGTTTGGGAGGATCTTCTGTCTCAGATATGGGGACGTTGTACACCATAGATGAGAGGAGTGGATCGGTAGCGCTTGACAAGCCCGATGACCGAGATGTTCCACCTAGAAGAGCCTGCAAGTGCGCCTCGCGGAGCTCCTTTCCAAGAAGTGAGAGAGTAGCATTGGATGGAACTCCAGCTCTCCTGAACCTCCTTCGGCGCTGCATGTGAGCTGTTGTTAAGGTGAAATACACCATTACGCACTATGGAATAATATGGCTGCACTCTTACACTTCCCCGCACCTCTAATCAACAATTCTTAACTCAAGAAGAGACGGACGTTCTGATGATTAGAGCACCGACATATTCCTCGACACAGACGTCAAACAAACAATAAAAAACGCGATAAAGGCAACTTGAAAGTCGCATAGAAAGGATATCTTAAAAAGGTGGCCATGCTGCAACGAAATGTGGCCAACCATGTCCTTAGGTACCTTAACAGCGCACACTGGGCACATCTGCTTTCTCAAAACAAGCGAAGTCATCAAAGCAGCGTCATCGTATCACAGTAGAAAAACAATACAGCTGATTAGTGAGAACAAGAATACGATCATTTAATAACTTTATAGTCAAATTATATACATAAGACTCATATTCTCCCCATTAAATGACCGCCGCCATAAGCAAAATGCCAACCATCAGACAGTCGGAGCTTGCCGAAATTCAAATGTAAAAAGACGTTGAAATTCTGCAATATAGAACCCAGATGGTAATGAATATTCAGAACACAGAATTTGAAGGGAGACTTACAGCAGGCCTAGATTCAAAACAATGTTCCTCCTCGAGATGTGGACAGAGGGCAGTAGTGTCAAATTCTTCATAACAGAAAGGGCATGAAAATTCAGCTCGCAGGTCCTCATCACCATCCACATCATCTAGGTTAAGGTGACGGTCTGTAAAGAAATGAACAAACCAAAACAACAAAGTTCACAGCTGAGTGTTTTAAAACCAGAGTGAAGGACCATAACAACTAAACGCAACGTCACTTACATGTTCAGACGGGTAAATCAAAGCTCAAGACAACACGTTGACCATAAGGGGAGGGGGGGGGATAAAAGAAAAAAGAAAAAAGAACAGAGAGTTTGTTGCATGAAGATTCTGCTGCCAAATCTTTTACAGCTAAGACAAGGCGGACACTTAGTTTGACTACCTAATAACAATCTCCCTTACAGTAAAAAGGAGACTATCTTCTTAATTTTATATTGGAAATAGGAACATCAGATAATATGGTCAACACCTGAGCAAACTCCAATAATCGACTGGTCGAAATTCTACACGCACAACCAAACAGCAAGAAAACCAAATACGGAATGGAGGAACACACCAATAAGAGATTGAGAGGGCTGAAGTGTGTGATGACGCTTTGAAGTTGACATGCGGGCAGTCCAAAACTCCCCGTCCATATTGAATTTTTTTTTTTTTTTTTTTTTTTTTCCTCCCCAAAGCTTACCTCCGATTCGAACCAAAACACCTACCCAACGAACGACAACGATATGGCAATCCCACCCGCCCTTGCCTCTATACGGATTCCGCTAGTAGAAATTTACAACCGAATTGTCCTTCCGACCCGAAAAAAGACTTTCAGTCCAATTATTTTTAGTCTCTTCCAAAATACTTACAACAAATTGGTATTATTTTCCAGTTGTGACAAAATAAACGCTCAAAACTCCTCCCCTCGCTTCACACCATCACCAGCAGAAGACAACTGTGATCTTAACTTTTATCCTCAAAAACTGTTCCTTTCAACAGTTCGCGACTATATACGTTCTCCTCAGTGGTCTCCGAAGGTGGAAGTTCCCTCCTGTGCTTGTTTCCTACATAACAGAGTCCCAACATTAATCAGGGCCGTACCGCAGACTGTAAAATTCTCCCGCTACACCCAAGTACTAGTATGTACAACATCTCTAACCTTCTGTAAAAATTCTATCAATCAGTGCCCTCAGTCCATACGGGTAAAACCGATGCTTTACTGCAGAATTACAATCGAAACGCAGAAAGTTGAAGTTGCATGACAATTGACACACTATAAAGGTTTAATTTCACACTATGATACCACGCACTCTACTTCCACAATTAGGCTAAGCATTTGAAGAATTAAACGCTTTCCGTTAGTTCCACCAGCTCTTAATGACAACATTCAGCCATGGTGGTGAGCGCTGAAGAGCGCAGACACGACAAAGATCTGGACACTCGGGTGCAAATACCATTCCCAAAAATCCAGCTATGGTCATGTACAAACGCGGGCTGCTAAATGTTCTGTATAATTCTATCCCTACAATAATTTGAAGCAAAGACCATTATCTAAACTGAAATGGGTACACCTGATACACTATTATGGCTTCAAAGCAGTGTGAGCGCAACAACATCCCATATTTCTCTGCTTCCCAAGAACCAAGGATCCAAAAAACCAAAAGATAGGCAGGAATCCACATGAAAAAGAAAAAGAAAAAGAAGCTAAATTAACAGAAGACAAACATTATACAAAGTCAGGATGGAAAAAGATAATAACTTAAAAACAAAACCACCGAATAAACACAGACATTTCTAGACTGCTGCATAAATGATCAGCCACCATGAAGCTCTATCCCTAGACAACCAATCCGAAATCCCCAAAACGAGAAACAAACACTGCCACCTGACGAACACCACGAAACCGACCAGACCTACATCTGAAACCCTACCATCCGGCAAAACCGTACCCACAACACAAACACAAGCGAATTACAACAAGCAACCTCCAGCACCCCATCTCAGACCTCCCATTCTCTTCGACAACCAGGATCAACCTGATCGATCCCCAGCATCACACATTTACCCCGCTTCACCCCAACCCTCAATCACCCATCACCCCCTTGATACACCACCTCAAACCCGATTCCCAAACTCCCTCAACACCCTCGGCGCACAAGTTGCCCACGAAAAACTTGCAACAACGCCATACCTCACGAGCTCCTCAACCAGCCAGAAAAATAACAACGAATCACGACCTGCCCTGCCCTGCCCTGTATCTAGATAGATATCTTTCTGCCTGGAGGCACTCAAAGTGGAGCTGGGGCCCTAAGTAGGTAGTGTGGGAGATCAACAAGCAGCCTCCGATGAAGCCGCGATGGAATTAAGCGTGAAGGCGAAGGAATTGAAGGAAGGAGAGGAAGGAAGAGCGATGATGATGAGGGCGAGGAGGACGGAGGAGGAAACCGTGAAACCCCAGGTGTGGGTGCTGCACTACAGTGCCTTTGCCTTAGCTTTGGCTTTGCTCTGGTCTTGTGGTGTGTGTGTGCGTGAGCTTGTGCTTGTGCTTGCTGATCCCGATCAATGCCCCCACTTGTTCCACTCTCTTTCCTCCCCACCCCCCCCCCCCCAGTCGGTGTGGCTGTGCCCGCCCAGCGTTCGCATCTCGATGACGCGCCGGGAACGTAGGGGAGCTTTGGGGAACTTATGTTCCCACACTACGTGTACCCTCATGGCATATTTCTTTTCTTCTTTTTTTCTTTAGCTTTGATGGGGGAACTGTGTGTTGGTGAAAGTAAAATCTTAATGAACTCTTCATGAGTTGGCATTTTTTTTCTAAATTCCCCTGTGCCATCTATATTATTATCTTTCCAATTTATCTTGTTTTATTTTTGTTCTTGATCTCCCTTGTCTACTTTTAAATTAATAGTAGTAACAACAACAACAACAACAACAATAATAATAATAATAATAATAATAATAACTGTGATCAAACTGAAAATAGAGTATTTTGATTTTTTATTCTAATTTTCTAGAAAAATGATAAAATACATATACTGAGAAATTTATAATTTAGAATGTATAATTAAACATATATATATATATATATATATGTATATATGTATATATATGTATATATGTATATATAGACATATATACATACAGATAATTGCACTTTTAATGATGCCTAACAAGCCTTGGTTTTTTTCTCGACATATCAGGATTTAATGATCTCTCTTAATAAATTGGTTTATGTGCAATTAATTTTTAGTTCATTTACACATTGTTAAAATTAAAACAGGCATACTCATTAATCACAGAAAAAAGAAATGTGAAATTTGTACAGTGAAAAAAAAAAAAAAAAAAAAAAAAAAAAAAAATCTTTTAAGATTTTAGATTATATATATATAAAAGAATAATTTCACTTAATTGACATAAATAGGTTTCAGAATATTCCGACCTTGTATATTTCATATAATCTCAGAATAAACACAATGTCAACTTCACAAAACCAGAAACCTTGAAAAGATGCACTAAGACTTTGTTTTCAATGTAATTTGTTTAAAATCAAAGACAAACTCCTGTCAGGATATAACACCACATTTACTACACTCTAAGTTTACTTGGTTTAGGGTTTAGGGTATATAATGTTAAAACTTCTAAAAGTGAAATATTTTTTCAATTAAAATATAATTTTTTGTCCATAAAAAATCATTTATTTTCTTAAATTAAACAAATGATTCACATACTTTTATACATCTTTACATGAAAAATTGCTGATATTTCTTTATTAGAAATAATACGTGACAACAAACAAATTAAAAGATATCAATTTTACATTTTATAGTATAACAATCAAATAAATATAATTGAACTATTTATATGACTATATATATATATATATATATATATATATTTCCTTTATGGCTCAAGCTGTAAGTACATTCCAAGTTGCTATATACACACCTATTATGTCTATATACACTTCCAACACTTCTAATTGGCTCATCCAAATCCCTCTTCCCTTGCCTTGGTACAAGTCCTAGTGTCCCTTCTTCTCTTCTTTGCCTTGCTCTCCTATCAAGCTAGCCAACCCTTTGAAGCACTTTCAAACCTTGGATGAGGTTGGATATTTCTAAAATCCAAGTTGAAAACCTATATTTCTTTATTAATGTATTTGAAGAGAATTGGACATTTTAGCTCTTTGAATTTATCTATAAAGAACTTATATGTCATGTGATTGTGGATAGTATTAGTAATTGTAGAGTGCAGAGACAAGCCTTCACATTACATGGATTGAATACAAGTTGGCAAGTAAGTGCGCTGTCACGGACATACATATAATTACCTATATGAATAGATAAAAGTATGTAAAAGTAGGTTAATTGTGTAATATCTTCTAGAGAAGCTTCTTAGAAGCTTCATAGACGCTGCTTTGACTTTATAGGAGTCTATAGTTGACTTTTAGGTTAGAAACTTGGTCAACAAGTTAGCCATGTGCCACGCATGTTGGAAGCTTAAAGAACAAGCTAACTACGTGGTCCATCCATAGAAAACTTGCCTTGCAAGCAAAGGCATGTGGCCTAGAAAGTCAACATATATTGGAGGTCTTATAGAACATCGCCATGTGGCTTCTAGTTAGATAGTATATATAGAGGCAAGAGTGAAGCCCTCTTCACTCTTGTCAACTCCTTTCTTGCTTCTAGTCTAGTTTCAAGGGTCTCTAGTTTTCTTGTATTTTGGCAATAGCCATTCCAGTTTCTTTCTTAATATACATATTTCTATTTTGTCCTATTTCTTTTTGAGAAAAGTCTCACTTACTCTTTAGCTTTCATCGAGTTCTTGTCCTTGACAGATTGACAAGAGTACACTTACAATATCAGAGCTTTGTCTTTTCTTGATTAAGAGTGGATTACCCCTTTTTCTTGATAAGACATAAGCGCATTAGAAGTTGCGGATTACCCTCTTTTAACATGATATTGTTCTTAGTATTTTCTTTGTTATCAATTCCTCTCTTCTATTTGTTTTGAGCGTTATTAGACATCTTCTCTTTTCTAAGTGCTACTATGGCAGAGCTTGTTGAAATGAAGAGTGCAATGGCACAGATGCAAGAACAATTGAGGGAGTTAATGCTTGCGATGCATCAACTCAATTTACCACCACAAGGAGCAACAAGAATGGTAGGAAGTGAAGATATAGAGATGATTGGGGCTGCTTCAACATCTGCACCAAACCATGTCCCTTCTCCCAGAATGGAACACCCTTCGAGTGTTAGAGAACCGAGAGTTGCCTTGCCCGAGAAGTTTGATGGTACCAGATCCAAGTTTCGAGGATTCATCAATCAGGTCCAACTAGTGATTGAACTTCAACCCCAGAGCTATCCAACTCCAGGGTCACAAGTAAGATTCATTGGTACACTTCTTTCAGGTTCAGCATTGTCATGGTTTTCATCTTTTCTTGAACGACGAGATCCAACATTGGATAATCTGGAGGCTTTTTTGGCGGAGTTTCGATCCATGTTTGGAGAACATGATGCAATTCGTGTTGCAACCAACAAGATCCGTATTTTGCGTCAAGGCAATCGATCAGTAACATTATATGCTTCACAATTTCGACAACTTGCAACTGATATCAAGTGGGATGATGCCGCACTTGTGAGTCAATTTCTCTACGGATTACAATATGAGGTAAAGAAATTGATGCTTAATTTACCTGATCCTCAAACATTGAGTCAAGCAATTGACTTTGCTGTGAAGTGCGACAATCGACTTTTTGAATTTCGATCCGAGAGTCGCACAAGTGGGCCTCAACGTTACTACAATTCAATGGCAACACCGACGTCTCCTCAACACATACCTTCAGAAGTAGAGGATATGCAAATTGATGCGGTACGTTTCAAACCTCTTACTGAGCAAGAAAAGTCTCGTCGTCGACAAGAAGGATTGTGCTTATATTGTGGAGAACCTAAGCACACTGCTCAACATTGTCCAAAGAAGCGACGTAACTACAAAATGAGGAGTACGGCTGTCAAAGAAGACAGTATGTCGGAAAACGAGTACGTCCAGCTACAATAGGGACCGTGCAGCTGGAATCTTGTACAACTTCTAATAAAGGTCCTATCCTCTCCTCAGAACCATCTCCTTGTTTTATAATAGATGTGCGTTTAGGACCTAATAATTACAAAGCCTCTGCCTTGGTAGATTCAGGAGCCTCATCTTGTTTTTTAGATGAAGAATTTGCTAGATGTCATAGAATATCATTAATACAAAAAACTAAACCTGTACACGTAGAAGTCATAGATGGTCGTCCGTTGTCTTCTGGAGATGTAACTCACGAAACACTTCCTGTAGATGTAGTAATAAATGGTCATAGTAGTTGCGTAATTTTTAATATAATTAGATCTCCCTCTAATCCAGTAATTTTAGGCTTATCATGGTTAGAAAAGTATAATCCTCGAATAGATTGGATTTCGCGTAAACTTGATTTTCCTCAGAGCATTAGTAACAGTTCTATTAACCAAGTAAAAAACCATGAGTCTAGTATAGTAAAACTCGCACCTATAGGTGCAAAAGCATTTATACACGCAGCAAAAGAAGGATCAACTTTTGCTATTTATGCTGCACCTATTTCTGAAAACGTAAAGACTTCAAGTGGCATTCCAAGTCAATATCAGGATTATCAAGACGTTTTTGAGAAAAAGAATGCAGATATTCTTCCTGAGCATCGCCCATACGATTGTTCAATCGATCTCAAGGAAGGAACTCAGCCACCATTTGGACCAATTTACAGTTTATCGCAAGATGAGTTGGCTGAACTCAAGACATATATTGACGAGAATTTAGCGAAGAATTTCATACGCCATTCAAAATCTCCAGCAGGAGCTCCAATTTTATTCGTAAAGAAAAAAGATGGATCTTTACGAATGTGTGTTGACTATCGAGGACTCAACAAGATCACAATCAAGAACAGGTATCCATTACCTTTGATATCAGGACTCCTTGACCAGTTAAATCAAGCTAAGATCTATACAAAAATAGATCTAAGAGGAGCATATAATCTAGTACGGATCAAAGAAGGAGATGAATGGAAGACTGCGTTTCGAACCAGGTACGGGCATTTTGAATATAATGTCATGCCTTTTGGACTCACGAATGCACCAGCTGCTTTTCAACATCTCATGAATGATGTATTTCGTGAATTCTTAGACAATTTTGTCGTCTGCTACCTAGACGATATCCTGATTTATTCTAAGAATGTTGAAGAACATGAAATACATGTTCGTCAAGTATTACAAAAACTCAGAGATGCAGGATTGTACGCCAAGATGGAAAAGTGTGTATTTCACACTACTCAAGTTGACTTTTTAGGATACATCATTTCAAATGATGGTCTTATGATGGATTCTAAGAAAGTCCAAACAATCATGGATTGGAAGATTCCAAAGACTGTGAGAGATGTCCAAAGTTTCTTGGGATTTGCCAATTACTATCGGATCTTCATCAAAGACTTCTCACGAGTTGCAGCTCCACTTACACGCTTGACTAGTAAAGATAAATTCCAATGGAATCAAGAAGCGGAAGTAGCATTTGAAGCCTTGAAGACATCGTTTGTCTCTGCACCAGTCTTATATCGTGTTGACTTTTCCAAGGCATTTTTTATGGAAACAGACGCATCGGATTTTGCCTTGGGTGCAGTTTTATCACAAATGGGAACAGATGACAAACTTCATCCGATAGCTTTTCATTCAAGAAAATTCTCAGCAGCCGAGATCAATTATGAGATCCACGATAAAGAACTTCTTGCAATCGTGGATTCCTTTCAAGAATGGCGTCATTATCTAGAAGGTGCTTCTAGTCCAGTCACTGTGTATACAGATCACAAGAACCTCGAGTATTTCATGTCAGCACGCGTGTTGAATCGTCGTCAAGCTCGTTGGAGTATGTCTTTGTCAAGATTCGACTTCATTATCACTTATCGGCCAGGAAAACAACAAGGTTTGTCCGATGCCCTGTCTAGACGTTCTTATTTTGCACCAAAAGAAGGAGATGCAGCTTTTGAGCAACAAAGAACGGTCCTCTTGAAACCGGAGCAATTTCATCTCCGAGCAGTGAAATCAACATTGACTGTTGATTCAACTTTTCTCAAGCAAATCCAGTCCAGTATGTCCTCAGACCCTCTTGTTCATGATATCGAGAATAATTCTTCTAAGTCTCATGATTCTTCTAAGTTCGAGTTCAAGAATAATCTATTATATTTTGAAGGACGCCTATATGTTCCAGAAGGAAAAGCACGTTTGCGTGTTCTTCAAGCACGTCATGACTTTCCAGCAGCAGGGCACTTTGGATATAATAAGACTCTGGAACTCATATCAAGAGATTTTTGGTGGCCACAAATGTGGAAGTCAGTCAAAGACTTTGTACAATCATGTGATATTTGTTCAAGATCAAAAATTCCTCGACATCGACCTTACGGACTTCTTCAGCCATTACCTATACCAGAACAACCATGGTCTTCTGTTTCTATGGATTTCATCACAGATCTTCCAAACTCAAGATCTTATGATTCTATATTTGTGATAGTAGATCGTTTCACCAAGATGGCACATTTTATGCCATGTACAAAATCTATCACAGGTGAAGAAACAGCTAAGCTTTTCATTGATAATATCTATCGCTATCATGGATTGCCTAAAGATATCATATCGGATAGGGGAACTCAATTTGTGTCGAGATTCTGGAGGACTCTTTTCAAGATTTTAAAAGTGGACATAAAGCTATCTTCAGCTTTCCATCCTCAAACTGATGGACAAACAGAGCGCGTAAACCAAGTCTTGGAACAGTATTTAAGGTGTACCATCAACTACCAACAAGATGATTGGACAAACCTTCTGCCATTGGCAGAGTTTGCTTATAATAATACGGTACATTCCTCCACGCAACAAACACCTTTCTTTGCCAATTATGGCTATAATCCACGACTTGATACTTTTGATTTTTCAAAAGTTGATAATCCTGTAGCAGAAGATATGGCAAATCGGTTGTCAGAGTTACATGCAATAATGAAGGCGCAGTTGAAGAAAGCTCAAGAACGACAAAAGATAAATGCAGATGTATATCGTAAAGAGCAACCACAACTCAACGTGGGTGATAAGGTATGGCTACTTCGTCGCAATATCAAGACCACTCGACCTTGTGACAAATTGGACTATCGTAGGCTTGGCCCCTTTTCTGTTTCTGAACAGATCAACCCAGTTGCATATCGGTTACATCTACCGGAGTCAATGAAGATCCATCCTGTATTCCACGTGTCTCTTCTTGAACCATATAAGACAGTGGATATACAAGGAAGAAGACAAATGCCACCGCCTCCTATAGAAGTAGATAATAATGAAGAATTTGAGGTAGAAGAGATATTAGACTCAAGGCGGCGCCGAAATAAGCTGGAATATCTAGTTCATTGGTGCGGATATGATATTAGTGAGCGCACATGGGAGCCATCCAGGAATCTAGCAAATGCATCAGCTAAAGTCAAAGTTTTTCATCAACGACATCCATCAAAACCAAGATGAAAACCTCTCTTATAAAAGAGACAAGATTGAGGCAAGATAACATTCAATTTCCTATCCTTGTTTGTAACTTCTTTGCATTTTGTGACGCTAATTAGATGGAGAGCCAACAACCAGCGGATTCAACTCAAGAACCTTCGTTTGCTGACTTACCGGATGAGACATTGCGATTGTCACAACCTTCAAGACGACGCAACCGAGATGAAGACCCTCAAGAACGACATGTTCTTCTTCGAATAGATGGTGAGATACAACGCGTTTGGTATCACGACCTTGGAAGAGATTCTCGATGATTGGAGATATTATTGGAGATAGGAATGACTCCTGATGGTCTTTCAAATGTATTATTTGAAGGAAGTTATGAAGGCCTCAACAATGATCAAATAACAGGGTGGTCTTCTCGCCCTGGAATGGGACACTATCGATGGCTAAGAGGACCCATCAACTATCTTCGAAGAGAACAAAGATCAGAGTATGTAGCAAATACAATTCGTCGCATATTAGATTTTCTCAATATATAATCACCGCTCCTCGTGGAACTCGTCCCTAGAAGGGGGGGTAATGTCACGGACATACATATAATTACCTATATGAATAGATAAAAGTATGTAAAAGTAGGTTAATTGTGTAATATCTTCTAGAGAAGCTTCTTAGAAGCTTCATAGACGCTGCTTTGACTTTATAGGAGTCTATAGTTGACTTTTAGGTTAGAAACTTGGTCAACAAGTTAGCCATGTGCCACGCATGTTAGAAGCTTAAAGAACAAGCTAACTACGTGGTCCATCCATAGAAAACTTGCCTTGCAAGCAAAGGCATGTGGCCTAGAAAGTCAACATATATTGGAGGTCTTATAGAACATCGCCACGTGGCTTCTAGTTAGATAGTATATATAGAGGCAAGAGTGAAGCCCTCTTCACTCTTGTCAACTCCTTTCTTGCTTCTAGTCTAGTTTCAAGGGTCTCTAGTTTTCTTGTATTTTGGCAATAGCCATTCCAGTTTCTTTCTTAATATACATATTTCTATTTTGTCCTATTTCTTTTTGAGAAAAGTCTCACTTACTCTTTAGCTTTCATCGAGTTCTTGTCCTTGACATGCGCTTGGAGATAGAAATTCCAAAGAAGATAAAATTATTGTCTCATCTTAAAATAATGTTCAATCCTTTACTCACAAGGCAACCCTCTCTTTGAAGCATTGAAAATCTTTGCAAATAGAATACTTATCAAAGACATAAATCTCGAAAAAAGAAAACCTCAATACACTCTTGTGTCACTTAAAAAGACTAGAAAATCACTCAAAGATGGCATTATATTAAACTAGAATGGCTATTGTCTAAGACAAGAAGATTAGAAAGTCTTAAAACAAGACTAAAGACTAGAAAGGCATTGATAAGAGTGAAGAAGGCTTCATTCTTGCCTCCATATATACTCTTAACTAGGAGGTATGTGGCAATCTCCTACAAGACCTCCAAAACGTGTTGACTTTGCAAGACACGTATCTCAATTTACAAGGCAATTTTTCTATATGTGTGCCACATAATTAGCTTGTTCCATAAGCTACCAATACGTGGTTAACTTGTTGACCAAGTTTCTAACTTATCAATCTACTACAAACAAAGAAACATCTATGAAGCTTCTAAAAAACTTCTCTAAAAAATATTATGAAATGAGTGAACTTTTAACTACTTCTATTTAATCATATAGATAAATATTAGAGTAAATATATATGTCCATGATAATACTACACCCTTGTCACATAATGATAGATTAAGTGTATAATTGCAGCAACTCAATTGAAATTCAATGCTAGTAAGCAATTTAATGCATCTCAAGACTTAAATCCAATAAATCCAAAATTGAACATTGGCCACTAAGATTAATTTGGTGATGCTTGTGGTAGAAGGCAACATTTATATTGAGATCCATGCTAGGACAACAGAGAAAAAGAAGGACTTACATTAGGACCTATATTAGAACCTGCGTTGTAAATTAAAGAAGAAACAAGGAATTGAGTCTCATATTGGAACAAAGAAGAGATAGAAGGAGGTTGAGACCCACATCGTGACAAGGAAAAAGGAATTTAGATAAACCAATCAAAAGCCTTGAATGTATATGTAGACATAATGGATGTGCATATAGCAACTTGGGATGTTCTTGTAGCTTGAGCCTTTTGATATTTTATTCTAAGTAATTATAGTGTGTATACATTTTTTACATTATGATCATCTTATAAATTTATCATCCTCAAAAAAAAAAAAAAAAAAAAATTGCATATTTTTATTCAATAACACAAAATATGAAATTTATAGGAATTATTTAAATTTACAAAATGATTCAATTTAAATATTGTGATGTACATTTGTTATAAAAATCAGGTTAAACAAAGGTAAAATATTTAGCATAAATAATTTAAAATTATTCATAATCTATTTTGATAAGTTTAATATCCACATTTATCATGAACATGAATTGCGTTGGAACCAATCACCTCCTTCGTCGGACGCCGTCCACGGTTCGATCACATGTTCATATATTTCGTCAACGACAAACGAACTCCGTCGAGCTCTATTCCCTAGTCGATATGGCCTCTCAACGAGTGGCTAATAAGAAGAGCGGAAGTCGTAATTTCTCGAGAAGCAACGCCCCATGTACGAATGGATGAAATCATTAAGGATGAGATAATGTTCGTCATCCTCCCGTCCTCGTCGAAAGCCCTCCTGACGCCCGCCTTTCCAACGAAATTTGTGTTCCCAACCCCTAAACAAGTAGGTTCTCCACATGCGAATCATGTTCCCAATACTCGATTCATCGCCAATTGGCTGCGCATGACGCCGTCCATGTGGCAAAGCCCCACAGACCTCCTCTCAGTGTGAGCCAGTTCCTCGTGCTCGACGTCCACAAGCTCCTCCTCCGAAGTGATGTATTACGCCGATTTAAAGCTGGAGGACAGCAATTCCATCTGGAATCGTATCTACTTTCAGCTTCCCTGATAAGAGAGCTTCTATTGCAGTCAAATTTCGCACCATTTGGTGGAGAATTCCATTGATTCGGGCTGTTTTTGTGGAGTCTGGAGGTTTTTTGTTTGTCGCTGCTGGCGATTCGAACGAGTGCGTTTTCGAGGCAGAGTTTCCAATCAATTGGGTTTCACGTAATTCGTAGTATTCTTTAGTTTTCGACTTGATGATGGTACGAGCGGATGCTTGAATTCCTGGTTCTGATGAAGACGGGGTCGATTGATAAGGGTTATATCTGAAGGGGGAGAAGATATGGAATTCGTCGGCGGCAGTTTTTCTTGACAAGTGAACGGATTGATAAGACGGTGAAGTTCATTTTTTTTCTTTTTGACATCTGTAGGTTTTCTGGTATCAAGAAAAGAGGTTTACAGACACAGCAACAATATCCTTCAAAATTCACTGGAGCACTTTCTAGTCTTGAAAAAATGACGCTCGGCCATATGGTGCAAAAAGCGAAGGAGTCGTCTGGCGACGTTACCCCAAAGAAGTACAACATTTTTCTTGCTAGCAAACCTGTAGATGGCGACCGCAAGTGGTTGGATGTTACTAACAAGTATACCAATGACGTTGGTACGTGCATACTCTGTTCTGTAGCTATCAGCGACTTGAAGTTGTCTGTGATTGAGAATCTAGTGCAGCACTCGATTGTGACGGGGAGTATGAAGGGTGAATTTCGCCTTTGTGGGAGAGAAAGTGTTGGTTGAAACAGGAATTTGTCGTGTGTTTACGCCATTGTACGTGTATAGCTTAGCTGCATGATTGCCCTAGACTGTTATTACGCCACATCCTACTCACGACCAAAAAACAATCTAGTATTAATAATTTCGTTGAAAAGAATTTCAATCGTCTTCTTATACATGCCGTTGACATGTGCGATGTGGGTTTGCAGCTGCAAAGGTGCCACAAGCAACACACAAGGACATAGATGATGCAATCGACGCAGCCGTCGCCGCTGCCCCTGCTATGGCTGCCATGGGTGCATACGAGCGTAAAGCAGTTCTGGAGAAGGTTGGAGCTTACTTATGAATTATTCGAATCCAGTTTTCTCTCTTTCTCTCTCTCTCTATTAGAAGGTCGAAATTTAAATATACTGTAGTATCCAAATTAAGCTGACTCGATCCTTGTGTTCTCTTGTTCGCAGGTAGTAGCAGAGCTAAAGAACCGTTTCGAGGAGATCGCACAGACATTGACAATGGAATCTGGAAAGCCTATTAAAGATGCTCGAGGCGAGGTTACACGCACAATTGACACTTTCCAGGTTGCAGCTGAAGAAAGTGTCCGCATTTATGGCGAGCACATTCCTTTGGATATCTCTGCACGGAACAAAGGTCTTCAGGTAATCCTTCAAACCTGCTAAAACGCTTACATGAATATGGACCCCCGCACTAAGCCGCATCGATTCATGTAAACTCATCACCAAAGTGAGTTTCCACGACACGACTTAGAATTATGAATCTGCCATTGCAGGGAATCGTCAAAAAGTTTCCAATTGGTCCTGTGTCCATGGTGAGTCCATGGAATTTCCCGCTCAACCTTGTGGCGCACAAGGTGGCACCAGCGATAGCAGTGGGATGCCCTTTCGTATTGAAGCCAGCTAGCAGGACGCCGCTTTCAGCGCTCATTCTAGGAGAAATCCTACACAAAATAGAAGAATTGCCACTGGGAGCATTCTCCATCCTCCCTGTGTCACGGGAGGACGCTGATATGTTTACTGTGGATGAGCGGTTCAAGCTCCTGACATTTACTGGCTCAGGACCAATTGGATGGGACATGAAGGCTCGCGCCGGCAAAAAGAAGGTAACAACAGATTAACCATATAAAGTTGACGGATTAATAACTCATCAAATTTTGAGAACCATGCCAGACATTTGCAAAGAGTTGTACATCTTTGTTTGGTGATTGAACTAGTGTTCTCTTGTCGTCTTTATGAAACAGGTGGTCATGGAGTTGGGTGGTAACGCGCCATGCATTGTAGATGACTATGTTCCAGACTTGGATTACACAATTCAAAGGTTGATCAACGGGGGTTTCTACCAGGGTGGCCAATCATGCATCCACATGCAACGCCTTTATGTTCACGAGCGCCTCTATGATGAGGTATGCTCATCGTCGTGCTGCTGGGAATTTCACTTATGTTCTCAAGGTTGTTTCGTGATTGTAAATGCTAATTAGGTTACGTTCTCGTGTGAAATTTTATTATTGAATTGTGTATTGGCTTGTGCTTCCCAGGTCAAGGAGGGATTCGTCGCTGCAGTGAAGAAACTGAAGATGGGGAATCCGTTTGAGGAAGATACGTACCTCGGGCCTATGATCTCAGAATCGGCAGCCAAGGGCATCGAGGACTGGGTGAAAGAAGCAGTCGCGAAGGGTGGAAAGCTTCTGACGGGAGGAAACCGGAAAGGTGCTTTTATAGAGCCAACAGTTATTGAGGATGTGCCAATTGAAGCCAATGCCCGGAAAGAGGAAATCTTTGGCCCTGTTGTTCTCTTATACAAATACAGGTGCGTCAAACTTCGAAACTGGATGGAGGCATGAGTATTCCTACAACGAAAGTAAAGCTCCATCATCTGCTGAGTTTCTGATGTGGGCAATACTGCGATTGAAGAGCTGCAATTCTCCAATGCTAATAGTTTGTACAATTTTGGCAGTGATTTCAAGGAAGCTGTGAAAGAGTGCAATAACACCCACTACGGACTTCAATCGGGCATCTTCACCAAGGATTTGAACAAAGCTTTCTACGCTTTTGAGCATATGGAGGTGAGTCCATCTTTGACGTGCATCGTTCGTTCATCTCGTTACGAATATGTGCATGTGTATCTTCAGTTGAAGAGAACAAAAGAAGAAGAAAGATAATAATAATAATAATAATAATAATCATAATTACTACGAGGATGTGAAGTTAGATGCGATGCTGTTGATGTGGGTGCCTTTGTAAGTATTGGTCTTATGAACACTGTTCGATGTCCAGGTCGGGGGTGTGATCCTAAATGACTCTCCAGCTTTGCGAGTTGACAGTCAGCCATATGGGGGCCTGAAAGACTCCGGTATCCAGCGTGAGGGAGTGAAGTATGCTATGGATGATATGCTAGAAACTAAGGTTCTTGTCATGCGGAATGTTGGAACCTTGTAAGTGAGTTTCCTTGTCAGCATTTGTTTACATCATACAGCTTGTATATTGCTGACCGAGTATTCACACCGTATTTAGGTCTTCTTCCTGCTTAGCAAAAGTACAGAGGTGTGCTGTTTTCTGACTAGATTTTGCAAAGGTGGGATGCACTTGAGGATCTGTTCATTACGATGAATGAGGTAGAAGATAGTTATGTAACGATGTATTTGATCGTAGCAAGCGAAAACAGCAGAGACAATATCGATATGATTATTAGCTAGCGAAAACAGCAGAGATAATATCGATATGATATTGACAACTTCGCTACGCTTACGACAATAAAACTATGTTTTTGCAAATGGACGTCTCTTTTTTTATTGCATGTATCACATCCTGCATCAAATTCGATATTGACTAATATGTCCATTTATTACTGATCAAATTAACTTGGAAATGAATAATGAACATGTTAACGGAAAAATCCAATTGTGAAAGCTTTCTCCGTTCATAAGACCCCCTACAGTGATTATGGGTAAAACGTAGAAATTATTGTCTACACCCCCACCTACTCTGGCTTGACAGCTTTGCTTGTTTCAAGACTCCAGCAGTAAACGATCAGACCAACATATGGCACAAACCTCAGCTTCTTAACTAGGTCCTTCTTATCTGCGCGAACGTTCTCAAGGTTGTCTCCGACGAGCCAAGGTTGGAATACCGTGTAGCAGCACAAATCCCAGATGAAGGCATATGTTGGGCGATCTTTCGAAAGTGTGTCGACCCAATAACTCCATCGATCAGCTAAATCACCATAGCCCTCTCCGGACCTTCCAATAGCAAACCAGACAATGGATAAAAGCCCAACTGCGGCTCCAGTGGCAGCTACCCAACGTGAGCCCTTCTCTCCAGTGAAAGCTCGTTGCAGTCCGGTACTCTCCATTGGTTTTTGTGGTTCAGGAATTTTTCGCAATCGAATCGCCATGTAGGGAATAAGAAAAGCTGCAATTGCAACAATAATTCGTTAACATATTCTGACAAAATTAAGCGATGGTCAGATTGATTTGCGAGCATCTTAAAGTAGCTTGCACTTACTGTTGGTCAGGAACATGGACGCGAGCCAGAAGACATCAAGGGATCCAGGGAAGCGGTCCCGCTTCCGATCCGTGAAGATGAGGGGCGCGAAAAGGAGCGCCCAGCCAAGAACGAAATTGAATAATGCTTCATCAGTCTGGCATCAACATAGTTGTGGGTAAGTCGACATTATTCGCACAAGCAAACTTGCTAAAATCTATCTCCATGTGTGCCGTCCACTCTTTTAACATGAGGTTTGTCTCAAGGCACAAAAATAAAACTCTGTCATCGTCGACAACAACACTCTGGAAAACGCGCTTACGCTTCCTTGTCTTAGAACTTGGTGTGACCACATTGGTATGGATCTCAGTTCTATTAATTGCCAAGGATTGATAGAATTGGTTAAAAGGATGAGTAGCTTACAGGATGGACAGCTGCAGCCTCCAGAAGATGAAAGCCTACTGCTCTGCCCGAACCACACGGATACACAATGTGAGTTTAAAGAAGCACGGCTAAAGACAATAGGCTCTATTAGATGTCGAATTAGGTCTGAATGTCGCGTACATAGGTTAAGCAGTGGCAGGACGTAAAAGAAGTTGAATGATAGATCGAGAACTCCTGTAATGGTGGCCGGCGAAATTGCCCAGACTGGATCTCCCTGCAGGAGAGCAACCGCCGCCTTCCTCAGTTCAAGCAGCTCATGTCGCACATACCGACTCAAGAAACATACCAAATTCACTTCAATCTCCAGTTTACGCTCACAATACGTGCACCTCTATTCTTCCATGGCCATCTTGACCCACGTTCAAAATTGCTTGAGGCTATATCAGCAACCTCGACAAGTGCGACATAGATGGCACAATTGCCCTAATACAGAGCTGCACTTACGGGAGCATACGGCAGCAAAAAGAGATAGGACGTGTAAACACCCGCCATGGCCCACAACGCCACCTGCTTCACGCTCTTCAAAGGACCGTCCGTCTCTTCCGTCACCATTCCAGTGCCCTCTCCTTCCTTAGCCCTACACACAACCACTGTCCTACTGCTCTCGGTCTGCCTTGCACAACTAATTCCGCGTAACTCCACCAAGCTAATCCTCCTCCTCAGCGGTCCACTACCTCCGATTATTGGATTTGAGGTTCGTAGTTCATGCCTCCCAACTGCGTAGACATTACGTGCAGGCCTGTAGTACTTCAACAAAGGGCAAATTCCGAAACTCTGCGAGAGGGCAGGGGGTAGGGGAGTCAGTAGACGGGAGGCCATAGCAACAGCTGCGAGCTAGAATCATGCAATTGCAACAGCTGGAGCATCAGGTGTAGCCCTAAACTATCGAGAAGCCACAGCGTGCGATGGGCACTACATATTGGAATTGCTTTTGGGAACCTCTCAGAACTTGTTCCTTTTCCACGAGCATTGCAAGGAAAGCCACCTCAAGGATGGATAAGGATGGATGAGGTCGAAGGTCCATAATACTTATATATCGAGGTATTACAGCCAAGCAAACTGCAAGACAAAAAGCTCAACTGCCCATGCTCCTGATGGCGAGCAGATTAGAACCGCAGGGACTAATTGAATGAGAGAAGGAGTTTCTTAATTCTAGAAGTATTCGTGCAGATTCAACCCAAGTACTAAAGAATGTGAAAGACAAGAAATACAGCATACAAAAGGATATGGAAGAGCAATGACAACTTGTATGAACAATCATTATCTTGGTTGTCCTGCCTTTGCATGCCTATCAGAATTCATGTAAGCATTAAAATCTATACAACTGTATGTCAATAAACCTATGTTTTCAAAAAAGAAACACATTCTTCGCACAACAAGCAACTTTTGCAAGAGTACGCTGTTTCATGGTTTGGGGGTGGCAGCGGCCTTTAAAACGAACTTCAATCCATGAACTCTAAGCTACATTCTCATAAACTCCGACAGTCTAGGAATGAGGAGGACACATGTGGGTGATGTGTTTGTGGACAGCTCAAGATGAGTGTCAAGAGAAAATTAGAAAGCTAGACTATGCTTTAATCCTCATCGTCATAATCTTCGTCCATGTCATCGTCGTCCCCATCGCCATCGCCAGGAGACTGTGGAGCAGCAGCTGCCTCCGCAGCTTTCGACTTTTTGGAGGCAGGAGTGGTGCGAGGAGCAGGCTCCTCAACGTCGTCGTCTTCATCTGCCTCTTGTTCAACAACCTCAACATGTGGGCACCAGTCAAGGTTTCATCACTGACGATTGTTTGCAAAAACAAAATAAATCTAGAGAAATACACAAGAACTTGTTCAGCACATCTGAAATGACTCCAAGAAAGGATATCCACATCTCGTGCAGTTCCACCGGCCATGATGCTTTGCAGATCATTCTCCACTTGTTGAACCAAGTCTGGCTGCATCCAATAAACCACCCAACAGACCGTCACAAAACAACAGAATACAAGAGTGCGATTACTGTTCACAGACCATTTCATAATCAAGCCAAGCTTTACATACTGTTTCACTTCAATTCCATCAGAGTCTTGCAAGGTTTGAATGGGAGAGGTCAATTACATATAGATGTACTTCCTCAGGATTTCCTACTAACTGGAAACATAAATCCACCCAACCCTTTTAAGCAACAACACTTTGAACTCCTCCCCGATGAGTTCATGAAGAAACAAGTGAAGAGGACAAAAAAGTTCAATTGTTTCTAATGGTGAAAGACCCGGACTCACATTGAGATCTGGTTCACGACGAAAACGTCGCCTTCGGGCATCACGCATGGCTGGAGTTAATCCATGTTTGTATTCTGGGCCTTCTGGTACTGGTAGACCTTCTTCTTGCACCAAAATTATCTGCAACCATTCGGATAAACTAAGGTAAATGCCTCAAAGCCCGACTATACTGGAACGTTATGAATGAACTTCATCGCTTTTACACTGCAGTCACTACATGGAACGCTGGAAAAAAAGAAAAAAAGAAAAAAAAGAAAAAACCCACGACTCAAGTGCCTAGCGTAAAGACTATTTCCTTAACGCTATCAAAGTCCATGACCTAAATCAACCGAGCAGATGGACATCACAAAAAATCATACATTCTATGAATTAGGCATACAACTGTGACATGATTGTGAAACACTCAGACGCAACCAGCCGAAGATGCAATAGAATCGGAATCAGAAAAGCAAAACCTGCCCAATGTCCGCTGTCTTAATAAGCACATTGTCATCGTAAGTCTTGTAAGACTCTATGACGCAAGGCAAATCCAGCAAAGACGTCGGAAAGTGGTCCTCTCCTATCGTGAATATGGCCGACCTCCCATCTGCAAGTGAAAAGACTATGTTAACCGCACTAGACTTGGCCATGCTCCCTTCATGTGCACGCAAACATTCTATACCTTGTCACAATGGCGCCTCAAGCCCTTCCAAGGTAGAAACCCTTCTATCTTCAGGTATCCAAATCCATCGCAGAATTCACATTGAACAGAGCATTTACTTAAAACTAGGGCAATTATTAGCTTCACGCTTCTTTCTAAGTAGTACGTCATGAGGAATTGATCCTGTCCATAATGACACAGTACTCAGAAAGAAGAGCGAATCCTGTAATTGACATAATTCTGGGTGACAAACACAGAGAATTGGACCTGGCCGTGATTCTCAATAAATGCAAGCCGAAACTTACACCCGAAAGATTCACTAGACTGCACATTGCAGTAGCGTGAAACTCCAAGCCTGAAGTAATATAGCACATAACACCAGACAAACAAGATCATTGACAAGTTTTGCTACAGGTAAGAGAAGGGAATTAGGTTAATGCTTGAGGCCGCTTCCTCCTGGAGCTCTGATGTCCATTTGATATCCCTGCATAAAAATTGAGCAGATATGAATCCCGTTCGAGTTCCCTTTCAGTTTGCGAACATCGCATGTGAATTGGATGGGAAATCGCTGACCTTGAAAGGCAAGGTCGAGGTTTATGTCATTGGCAGCCTCGGGATCTTCATTTAAAACTCGTTCTAGGCGCTCTGCGACCGATTGCGGCACACGGAGGATGAAATGTTCTTCCATGCCCAGATCACTCGAACAATCAAACCCAGAAAGCTTTTTCCACTTGTCGAATCCAAAACAACCCAGAAAATTACATGTCTATCGTGCAATTGAGGGACCAAAATCACCCTCAGCGGCACTCCGCGACCAGGCTACCTTGAGTCCTGCTCAACTTCTTTCGTGTACACCAGCGATACTCTCTAGAACTTCGATAGAAGCCTCCTCCCACTACAATAAAAGTAAAAAGCATGAGGGTCCTTGGGCTTCAAGGTAAACTCCGACACCCTGAAACCCCGAACCCTAATTTATATCGACGTGGCGACGCCCAACATCGTGAGCCTTGCCTTGCTACTTCCTCAATATAGACTTCCGTTCCATAAAAGTCGCATTTGGCAACCCCTGTGTTCTGTCGAACCGAGTTGCGTCGCCTCCCAGGTCGTTGTGATTTCGGGACTCATACCCGCACGAACCCCACAGCAGTCAGAGCAGACTGTCAAGATGATTATTCCTGTTCGGTGCTTCACCTGCGGCAAGGTTTGCGTTTTCTCAGCTCAAGTTTTCTTCACTTCCATAGATTTGATTAGGGTATTCTGATTCTTTAAGGCTAAGTGTACTTGAAGTAGAGAAGAAAAACTGGGTTTGGTTATGCAATTTCGTGGAATCTTTTCCGACGCCTTTTTCTCCTCCACCTTCCGTGTGTGAGAGGATGTTGTTGAAGGAGTTGCTTCACGATCTGAATATCGATGGTTTGCTGAGAGTTAGTTGATGAATAGGAGTTTATCAAGCATTTCTTCTCTCATACTATGAGTACTTCGCCTCTTGTCATTTAGATTCCTGTTAAGGATGGGGAAACAGTTTAGGTTTGTGCGATTTAATATTCCTGTTAGCAGATAGGTGCTTCACCATTTACCTTTCATTTTTTTCATGTATTGGTTTTGGTTCTAGCCATTAGAGCGAGTAGTGTTCTGAACGGCAGCGTGCACTAACGCTACATAAAACATAACCTTTTTCGTATTTGGGATTTAGGAGACCTTCTTTGCGGCGGAGAACTTACCCTGCGCAGTAGTCGATGCTATAGCTTTTCGTTTCTTCGTTTTAATTAATTAAGTTGCAATGCTCAATTTCTGGAGGCTTCCATGCCATGCTAAGAAGCATGCGAAGACAGTCCATGGAACTCATTATATCTTTTTTTAGAGAAAGTAATACAGCAGTGCGGCGCATGTTCAGTAGAGCACAAATCTACAATCATGAGAACCTATGCGGCGACATATTCTCATCGTTGCTGTTGGTTTCTTGCGCAGGTGATTGGAAACAAATGGGATACATATCTCGACCTTTTGCAGGCCGATTATTCTGAAGGGTATGATCATAAAATTTTGTAACCAATGCTTTCGAGATTGTTTTTTCGAGAGAGCGTTACTTTCTCTATTGCAATTAGAAATCATGACCGGAAACCCTTTATTATATTTCTATTGATGCCGTGAAACTATGTTTGCTGCCTACTGTAGAGATGCTCTGGACGCCTTGGCTCTTGTCCGCTACTGCTGCCGGCGCATGCTGATGACCCATGTCGACCTTATCGAGAAGCTTCTGAACTACAACAGTAAGCGTTACCTGCACCAGCATTGCTGGTTTTTTGAAAGCTTTTCTTCGATCTCTTTTACTTTAGTCTGGAATACTAGTGTAGACAATGGTGCCACAAGGTTTCTCCTGTGCAAAATATTAATGCCCCCCCTTCTTTGTGATGGTTGTGTAGCTTTGGAGAGGAACGAGAACACCAATAACTGAAACCCATTACAATCTGCGCCAACATCATGGAAGTGTCAATGGACAATGGATAGCATGTTTAATTTTCTGGAAAACTGGCCGAAACTCTTCACAGGAGGTTTTGATAGGGATGAGAGGCGGCTCTTTTCATTCAGGCTACGAACCATGGTCGTAAGGATATATGATAATATGAAATGTAGATGTCTTGCACTAAATCAGTCAAAAGCTATTTTGTAGAATCATTAACCAGTCACAATGCGGCATTCCGACTATGTCAAATGTCCTCAACCTTAATCGCCGTAAAATTGCTATGCAGGCAGTCTGTATTCTTACGATTTTGAATTCGACTCTACACCGTGGATGAACTCTTGATTCGGCAGTTCGTAACAATTTTTGTGGTTTTTCGTAATTGTTGTCTGTTGAAGACGTGGTAGTAGTTTCTACACAGTTTGTGATGTCATGAATGGCATGACAACATAATTGAGATCCAACTTCACCTTGTTGCTGAATTTTTACGAGGCAGTTTGGGGGTGATATTAGATTAGCCTTTGTTGCTGCCCTTTTGGACTCTTCTGAATAATGTAGCCGGTATTAAGTTATCGTGTCCAAGCTACAGCCATTGTGGAGCCCTACATTCTGTTGGCAATCTAACTGATCACCCTTGAGGTCGAAGCCACTTTCATCACCCTTGAGCACTTCGTATGTCTTTTATAGGTATGTAAGCCTCAAGTTGATTAGTTTGAGTTTCAACATGCTGAAGGTGCGTGAGGCCTTCATAGTTGCTCATTGCCCTAAACCCTAAACCCTGAACCTGGTCGTCAGTTTTGACCTTTTGTCTTGGACATTGTCCAGGGACACTTATCTGTAAACCTCTACACTAGGTCAATGTCAATTTGCCCAGCGCAGACGAGATTCCTTGCATTAATACTCTAAACTAGGCCTAGTTTAAAAGCACCCTTCAGGGATGTGCCAATTCACAAACTAAATGTTGACGAGCTGTGCCAATGACTATGTCAAATTGATTTCTCTTGTGATAGCGTGTATTGTCTACAGTTTGTTGATTGCCTGAATGAGCAACAGGTTGAGGAGTTGAAGGCGAGCACTACTATTCTTAAATCAGTTTTTGCTTTTAGTCCATTTCGAGGATCTGCAAGTACGTAAGAGCACTGTATTTATCTCTGTCTGGCCATATCCTCGCTTTGTGCATCCACTATTCGAGCTCTAAAAGTCCAGGACCTGTATTTTTCGAGGGGATTTGTTACAACAACACAAACTACGATTGTGCAGAGGAGGATTCGATTTTAATGTCGTGATTCTCACCCACCATCATCCATTATACAAACCTCCTCAGACTGCATTGATTGCGGCAGAGCTGGAAGCAAATGGTGCACAATTTGTGTGGATTTCGAAACCGACTTCAGATTCTGTCATGGTTGAAGAGAGTTCCGAGGTCTGCATGTATCTGCCCTCAGATAATTTATTTCTCTCTTGCGTACCTCACTGCAAGTTGGTGCTTTAATTCCGTCCGTGACCAGGTGGATGCGTGAACATTTCGGAACATGAATTGATATGACAAAGCGGATTTGGATAGAAATAGATCATATTTTACCCTGCAAAACTCTCCAAAAGACCGGCTAATTGAGCCATGGATGTTTGGGTTTTGGGGATAAAATGAAAGGGACAGGCATGAGTGTTACTAAGTGGGCACATAAAGGGCAGATCTTGCAACACCTCAACCCAAGCTGAAACAAATGATCATCTAAGAATAACTCTGAAATTCACCCAAAGACATCGTAGAGGAATTGTTGGTGCTAACTACTGAGATTTTCATACAAACCTTGTAATGTACCAACTACTACTGGATGTTCTTGGCACTGAAAATGAAACAATCTCCCGTAAATTTTAATTCCTCAAATAAGTATATTACACAGACTGCCTGCTTTACAATGAGCAGTAAATTTCCATTCCAAGCGGTTTCAAAATTGCGATTGTGGTTTTGAGTCCAGATTTGCGTTGAGTGTATCCTCTATGTACATTGTAGCTATACGAGTGAGGTAGACGCCTTGGGCACGTACTATCAATTCCTCTAAAGCCAGGAACCTTCGAAGCATGAACATCGCGAATAGGTAGGATTCTCCATTGAGGAATCAGTGAGCGCCAAAGCATGTGAATCCCTTCTTGGTTCCGCTCTCAACAATAAGAATCAAAGTAGAGCCTTCCTTAACATTACTGTTGAGAAGGTAATCGTCATCTTCTAAAATCCTACCATCCAACAGAAGCCGCTGTTTGTCGCACGCCATTCTGACACACTCCTTGTGGATGCGTCGCTTTACCGTGGCCACTGTGTCCGCTCCGTTAACATAAAAACTCAATGGATCTACCCCGAGAGACACTACTCGGATCTTAAAATCTGGCCATCCGCACCGGTAAATGAAAGTCTTTCCCCCGCCCATTTTATGATCATCGCACACAGGCACTTCGACCCCCTTTTGCCATCTTCTTATCAGTTGATGATGAAACGGTGTGCGGAGTGCAAAATGAAAGAAGTCCTTCAACTCACCGCACGTCACCAGAGTGTGAAAGTGTTCTGGAGTTTGGTCTTTGGTTGCAGTGTTTATCACTTGACTTAATACTTGTGACGAAGAAGCAAAGCTAGTCATTTCAACACAACCGTTCGCTGTAATGTTGTAATCTGCAAGTGTCGATAACGTATTGTTTGGCTTGATTCGATCCTTCAATTTGTTTCCTTTGTGTGAAAGGTTTGTGTTGCCATGGAACAGAATGCCGAGGTAGCTCCGCAGAAATGTAACCGTAAATGTGGGTTTTACCATCATAGTCAGAGGCAGAGGAGCATTTCCAATCGTGATTGGCATGTAGGGCTCTGCATCTTCGGCGTTATGGAGCAATAAGCAGTCATGGCACTCGCAAAACCACAAGTAAAAGCAATGGTAGGCATCTTCGCCCGGGAATTTGAAGGTATCGCCGAGCTTGACAGCATCGTTTACCACACCTCCATGAGTGGTGAGCACATGTTCCGAAACACGTACGCCCTGAAGCTCTCTAATCTTGCTTCTGAGAGATGCTACCGTGTCAGAGTTCTGCATTTCCAATTTAATCGTCTCGTGAAAAAACTTCCTGGTGTGCACGTTTCGGAAGCCCCGAATCTCAACTCGCACTCGGACGCGGGTCCGACCGCGGGTAGAAAAAACCATTGAAAATCCCACTTCCTCTGCAATTTCTACCCTGAAATCTTTGAAGCTTCGTAAATCGACTGCCGCTAGCCAAATAGAGATATACAACCTTTCCTCTGCCGTCATCTTCAAGCAAGACTTTCCGGAGGACAGGATAAACCGACCCGTTTGCACAACATCAAAGTACTAAGCAATAGAACGTTTGACGCCATTACATACAAAAAAGATCGGGATTGATCACACGTAGCGTGCAATCGAAACACAGCTACAGAGACCAAGCCCACTCGCGTAACCGCGACGGCGTGAAAGCAAGCCGACAAACCGCGTCCTCCGCAAGTATCCGCACTTGTCGACGCCCTCGGACATGGACAGAGAGGCATGAAATCCACAGACAAAAGATAAATGGCTTCGTTGACAAGCAAGGAATCTCGTCGGCAACGTATCGATTTCAGAATCACGTCACCTCGGAAGCAACAACTCGTCGGCATCGGCAACAAATACGGATACAAGGTCGCCACAGAAGCAACGAGCAGCACACTCGTCGTCTCAATGACCCCCTGCAGACAATCCAGACAATGCAGACACGCGTGTGAGTGTGTCGAAGTGACGTTAGATCATTCAAGTGTGCTCTGTTCAAGCCAAGCCTACGTACCAGCAGCAGCTTATTTCATGGCTGGGGGCTCAATTGGAAGCTGCGAGTGCTGCAAAATTCACACTGGAACTTTCAGGAAAAACAAAAACAAAAACAAAAAAAACGAGATTCTCCGAAGTGAAGTGACAACAATCGAGATAGAGGATTCGGCTTGCGATTTTTGATGAGGATTCGACGCATTGACTTGCGACTTTCTAATTTCATCCGTCAACAGTCAATCCGACAGATTAAATTAGTACGAGAATCTGCCGAAGATCCCATTCCCCGTTAGAAGTTCGAGCTAATCTTCTCCGAAGGAGATACAAGTCCCTTGATTGCCGTCGCCGCATATTCATTCATTCTTCATCGTCTGTGAAGCGAATGACTATCATCCAATGAAAACTTCTCCGAAATTGTGCCCTTGGGAAGGGGAAGCTTCGATTGCGAGTCTCGCCTCTGAGCCCATCATTGCAATCTGGACGTGAGTAGGGCGGATTGTGGAGTTTGATGAGTTTGCTTTGAGAGGAGAGAAGATTTGTGTGCGCGTCACAGTTCTTTTCGTGTCCTTTTTTTTCTTTTTCTTTTTCTTTTTTTTTTTTTTTTTTTCCTACTTGTATGGCTGAAATGGACTCAGTAAGGAAGGCACCTGATCGGTCGAGCGGTTCGGATACAATTTCGCAATCAGCTGCGCCTGATCGCTGTTCGAATGGAGCTGAACTGCGGAGTTCCAGTGGTCTAGATCCAGCTTCTGGAGGGAGTTTTCTGCGGTGGCTGTCTCCTTCTCTACAAATGGATCAAATGCGAATGCCACCTTCTATGTTAATACCGCCGCCTGTGTCATACCCAGATATGGGGCACAATCTTAATCCTGCTCCGCAAATGTCTTCAGCTGCGCTAGCGCCAGTGCCGCAAGCGCGTCCTGTGCCCGTTATGCAGCTGCCGATCGCATTTCAAATTCCTAAGAAGCGCATTAACAACCTAAGCGACATCGAGCACTTGCACAGCTCGGAAGCAGGGAAATTTTTTTTAGGGTTTATCGTAGGACTTAATGATTCAATGATAGGGAAGAAGCTATCGGAGTACTGCCGTGAGTCGCCCTTGATTAAAACAATTTGTAGTGTGTTAGAGGAGATGAGCTCATGGGTTGAACAGCTTCCTCCTAAGCAACAGCCCGCCAGATATGGAAACCCTGCGTTTCGGGAGTGGCAGACTTGGCTTGAGGAACGAGGACCTGGGTTGATGCTTCGGATTCTTCCAGAAAGTTTAAAAGACGGCGTAGTGGAGCTTTCCCCTTACTTCGCTGACAGTTTTGGAAACGCAACGAGAATCGATTATGGCTCTGGCCATGAGGCCAACTTTGCTGCGTGGCTGCTTTGTCTGGCAAGATTAGGGCTGGTAAATGAGGACGATTATCAGGCTCTTGTTGCACGTGTTTTCGTCAAGTACTTGGACCTTATGCGCAAGCTGCAGACTACCTATTGGCTGGAACCTGCAGGTTTGCAACTCATCCTCAACTCATTTCTCTTTTTCCTTGTTTAAGTGTAAGGTTTTCAGCATATGTAGCACTTTGTTCTGTCCTACCATGGTAAAATTGCAGCAGTCTGCTATTGCGTTCTTCATCTTCACCACTATGCCTATTCGGTAAATGAGACCGATTATATGAAAGTAATCAGCTGTATCGTATTTTCATCAAAGAGACTTTCATCTGTCGTTATAATTTTGTGTCAGTTTTAGGGTTCCATGCCCATTCAAAGCTATGTGTGCAAAACATTTTGTCCTCATGTTGCGCAGGATATTACGGTTTGGCTTTTTAGTCGTTTCTCTCTGCAGTAATAGGACAGTGGTCCGAAAAACCCACGAGTATGTATAGTTTTGTCCCCAACCAGTAATACCGTAGCAGTACCATGTATGCGAGGAATCATGCACAGCAGTAGGGCGCTGATTTTAGGAGTTGTAGTGTCCATCTCATTCAACCCTGACCAGAGTCCCTTTTGCAAGCAGTTTGTTGACGTAACGGCCTGATTGTTTGGTCGCAGGCAGTAGTGTCCTGCATCCAAGCAACGATTGGATACATCCCAAGGAACATGCTGACAGTTTGAATGCGTTGCATCGTGCAGGGTCACATGGGGTGTGGGGATTGGATGACTATCATTTTCTTCCATTCGTTTTCGGCTCAGCACAGCTGAAGGACTCCAAGTACATGAAACCCAAGTCGATACACAACGCGGACATTCTTGAGAATTTCTCACATGAGTATCTGTACCTGGGGTGTGTACAGTTCGTGAAGAAGGTGAAGAAGGGTGTGTTGGCTGAGCACTCCCCAATGCTAGATGATATTAGTGGAGTGTCATCATGGAACAAGGTGAATAGCGGCATGCTCAAAATGTATAAGCCTGAGGTTCTTGAGAAAGTTCCAATAATGCAGCATTTCTTGTTCGGATCTCTCATCAAATGGTAGAACAATACGGTGACATAAAAGTTGTTTTCTTTTTCTAACATTTTTGGTAGGTCGTATGATTAGAATAATGATATTACTATGTGAATTATTGGCTCTGAGAGCATTGGATTTCCCGCGGGGTTTACATTTTCAACCCAAGAGTCTTATCACATGTAAATATCTTTAGCACAAGGCCCATTTCACATAATAGACCTAGAGAAAGGGGTAATCATCATACTTTGCCATGGTCACAAGACCATCCTAAGAAAAATCTTGAAACTGCTATTAAAGGTTTGGTCATAGTGAAAGATAATGTTATCAAAACAATGTTTTCAAAGCCATAGCTTTAGCAGTAGTACTACTGTGGTACCTTTCAACCATGAATTGGTACTAAATAACAGCTACTAATTGATTTGATAGTTTTGGATTGTTAAGCAATTAGGTTTATTTTATTTTAAAACTCTAGAATATACCTAATAGTCTCTATTTAAATCCCTTGTTGTTAATTTGGCCTGTTTTAAAGTTGGAATAATGAATTTATTTAATTTTATTTAATTTTTTAATACAGAACAATATTGAGTTTCTCCTTTAATCTAAAAGCTCAAAAATGAAAATCATGTATTGTTTCTTCCATTTAGTATTCATAATTGTCCTCCTTTAAAAATATATATGTTCTTGGTGTATATGGTCTAAAATAAAGGCATCTCCACTTGTTGGTGCCAGTGGGGACTACCGAGAAGGTGGATGCCATGGCACCTTGGCTATGGCATGCATGGAGCACTTCCCAACTACAAGGTGTGTAGCCGGCATAAGCCACTCCTCGCACTATATGCCCGCTCTAAAGTGGCTCTCTAAGAACCCTACTCCCAACACCCCCCTCTCCTTCCAAAAAGCTCCTCCTATTAAATATATCTTTCTTCATATGATAAAAGGAGAGAAAAGTGGTTTTTGTTGACAACCCCACCTTGTTGCTGATAGAAGCCATGCTTAGATTCACCTACCCATCCCATAGTGGATCTCTTGGGACTCCACTCCAAGCCCTAGTCATGACATGAAGGAGTTTCCATGGCAAGCTGTTGATGAAACTATCTATTCTCCTAGGGCTGTTGAACAAGCCATAGTGGGGCACATTTTGAGGCTAAGGTAGTCAACACATATGTTGGTGCCATCATTGGTGATGCCTTAAGATAATTAAGTTTGAGAGCCATGAATAATCCTTCAATTCAATCACATTTTTTTGTATATTAGTGCATGGAACTTTTATTTTATTTATTTATTATTTTTATGTTTTTATTTTATTATTTATCAATATATATAAAATATGTATGTTTAATATTAATAATAAATGTATAATTGGATTTCATTGTATTCAATTGGCTTATATATATATATATATATATATATATTTACTGTTTATGTATTTGATATATAATTTTACACTCAAATATCTATGCTTAATATTCATTAGAATTGAATAATATATTATAATGGTTTATGTTTTTTTTTAAAAAAACTTTAAATTATATAGATAATTTTAATTTATAAAATATCATTTTTTTCAATATATTTTTATGATTTAGATCCCATAAACATTGAAAGCCACTAGGTGGACATCCTCCTTTTAGGGCATTGACGTCCTCCCTAAATTGCACATTTTCACATACACACCCTTGCAAAAGAAAAAAAGAAAAAAACAAAAAACAAAAAAAACAAAAAAAAAAACAAAGTTTTGATGCTTAAATTATATTTTTTGTTATAATTATTATTTTAAAACCAAAATTTGATATATCCTTATTTGTTTGTATTATATTGCTTTGTACTATGTAAATTTGCAAACCTTTGTCAAGTTAATAATTTAAATAAAATAAATAAAAAAAAGTGTGTATTATTAAAAGGAAATGTCAACACAATAAAAGGAAATTCTATAAAAATGAAATGTGCATTGCAAACAACACATTAAAATATTGTTGTTTTGTTTATCATATAAAACAACTTAGGTATAAAAGAAAGACATAAATAAGCCTTCTCATTAACCAAACATGAATCAACATGAATGAATGAATTGATGGCAGTGTTAGAGATTGCCCTGCACAAAAACACAGATTTCTGCTCATATATATATATATATATATATGTATGTATATACATATATTTATATTATGTAACATATTTTAAAACCCACTACATCAAACAAACTCCAACATATGATAAAACTGATACTTACGGTTCAATCATAGATACATGATCAAATAGAATAACATCTTTGACAGGGTTCAGTACAGCCACCACATCTTAATATGCGTAGAATTGTCCAGAAACCATAACGAACGAAGCACGAACGAAAGTGGTAAAAAAAAGGAACTATGAAGCGAGAGCTGCAGCAGAAGAGGGGCTTTATACGAAGTGTTATCGGAAACCGGATCGGGTTTTATGGTTTCAGGTTCGGTGTCAGCGGAAGCGAATTCAACGCGCCATGCATGGCAACATTCGAGTGAAGCCTGCGGGAGTTGAAGAGTTCCTCACTAGTGAGTACCCAAGTCAATACAGACGTGATTCACTGCGAAGCCAAAAGAGCCACGATTCTGGGGATATCTCAGCGAAGCCATAGTTCTGGTCCTTACGCTCAGATCCGATCAACACTGAGTGCAGTGCATACGAAGTTCATACGCCTTCTTCACTCCTGTTCCCTTCCTGTTGCGTTGGGATGAACTTCACCGTGCACACAGCGACAGCTACTTCCTGTCGATTCCACTGGGTAACTTCCATCAGTGTGCCCCATGGTCGTCAAACCCACAAACTCCTGCAGTTTGCGGCGTGATCGCAACTTGGTCGCTGCCAAACTCCGAGTGTGTGGCCTTCGCTTTCGCGTCGAGGATTTCGGGTTCGTGTCGTTGGCGAGCGTCCTGGAACACGACCGTGCCACAGTCGTTGCCACTTCGCAACGCCGTGTGTTTTTTAACCACCCTTCTTTAGGGTACATGTCAACGTTCTTTTCTGTGCTGCAGCGAACAGACAAAGAACCCAGTCTGGCGTTTCCTCGGATGGGGAAGAAATGATTTCCTGAAAGTGCTTCGATTCATCATAAGTGTGTCAATGATGAAAAAATGACAAAAAAATGAAAAAGGCTTTTCTGACTGCCGTTGTGTTTCGATGCATTTGAATGTGTCCTCATGAGCCTTTGTTTTCTTCTCTTTCCTTTGTGAGGGCTTGTTTAAAATCCAACTACAAGACTATAGGACAAAAGGCCCTCCTCCTGTCCACCACCATCACCAGATGCTTCTGTACCAAGTGCAATCTTTCCTGCTCTACTCCACCTCACTCACTCCAGACAAAATTTGCATGGCAGTGTGTAAAAATATCCGGGCCGGAGGATGCTACCATCCTCCGAATTGAGTACGTAGTGGATATCTTATACTCTATAAGTGGCACCTCAACCTCAATTAGGAATTCGAATCAAAAGGTGTGCGTTTTGGTACACGAATCGCACAAGCATCTCGGGATTGACGGCGTTGCAATGTCAAGAGAGAATGCTGACAAACACTCTAGTTGAGTGTGTATCAGTTTGGCAGGGTGCCTCAAGAGCTGGTACATGGGGATGTACATTGTTATCTTTGTTCATCTTGTATTAAGTATGAAGGGCGGGGCAATGCCCCAACTAGGGCACTCAGGTTGTAAGAAAATAAGGCAATTAAAATATATTAAAAACAAAGAATAATTCCCTAGTTTGGTGGCAGTGTCCGGAATTGCACTCTTGGTTATTGTGCGGTGTTGTTGTGATTTCACATGGGCTTTGTTGTAATGCTCTTCTGATTCCACAATAGTTTGAGGTCATTCAGATTAGGACAAGGGAAGATTTCTTACATGGAATAGAGTTGTAAAGTCCCAAAGTATAATTGCATTGTTTTGTCCCATTCCAATTTATAAAAGATTTTTTCTTAGATCTAATTGTGTGATATGTAGTTTTTTTGTCTTTACTGTTTATAATGTTTTTTTCTTTCCAATTTTTATTTTTATTTTTTAAATATGGTATAGAAATTTTAGTTTGAATATTTTGAATTTTGAAGTTAATTTTTTCTACATTATCAAGTATATGTATTAATATAATAAAATTAGATAATTTTTTCTGTAATTGATTCTTTTATTTTTAATGATTTCTTATTATGGTTAATGCATATTAAGAAGAATCTTACATCTATTTTATTTACTTACTTTCAATACTTTACATTTTTTATATTTTGAATATATTTTAATTGCCTTATTTTCTTACAAATTCTTTTAAAGTACATTGTTTTTATTATTATTACTATTATTAAAAGTATCAAGTATTATTTTGTATGGTTTATAAATGTATTTGAATTTTTCTTCCTTCAAATAATAAAACGTTATATTGATGGTTTTTAGATCTTTTTATGTTTTTTTTTTTTTTTTTTAAAAAAGCTTTGATCCTAAACTTAATAATAAGTGACTAAGAGAATTAGTTTTTTTAGTTTTAACTAAGATGACAACTTATGTTTTATTTAAAAAATCAAAAGTTTCTTATAAGAGTTATCAATAAAAAATAAATCTTTTGATTTACAAAAAAAAATTAATTTAATTTTTTTAAAAAAAATATTGAATTTGGTTTCTTATGACATATATTACTTTATTAAATAAAAATATACATAATATATGTCATAAAAAACTATATTAATATACATAATATTAGACCCTAATATTATTTTGATATTAATAGAACTACTATCTTTACTTTAATGTATCAAATTGATTTAGTAATCACAACTTGTGTATATTTAAATCTATATAATTATCATTTTTATTTTCATTTTTATTTAGCTCTATAATATTTCTTTTTTAAAATTAATTTTTAACATAATTTGGATCTTCAATCTACAAATAAATGATAAAAACCTATAAGCATTATAGCTTAAATGCAAGAAAAACAGAATAAATGATGCTTATAGTATATCAAATTTGTTTACCACTACAATCATCAAAAATACTAATTAAATAAGAAAATGCAAAGGCAATAAGAATTTTTTAAATAATTTTTTAACTTAAGCAAAACAATTACTCAATTTATCATAATAAATAAATAAATATTAATTAAAAAACTAAAAATTCATCTTCTTAAGAAGTTTAATAATATCAAATCAAGATTATATAGAATTCTTATCCAATGCTATCCAACTTAAGCATCTTAAGTGAAGTATATAAATATATTTGAATAATTATTTTTAAATTTAATAAAAAATATTTTTAATTTTTCTGAGATACAAAGATTCAATTTTAAATAATTTAGTTTAAATTTTAAGTAAAATTTCTATCTAAATATAATAAATATGATGAAATTTTAATAGAAACTAATAAAATTTAAAATTTTCTATACTTATTTTTATATTTATGTTGCTATATAAATTTAAAATTTAGTTACATATTTTTTTTCTTTAGTAGAATGATGTTGTATTTACAAGTTAAAATTTTAATAAATTATTACATTATAGAAGAAAAATATGTGATCAATTGAACTAATTTTCAAATATTAAGTCAAACAATTGATTTTGTTGATAAATGCAGCAATATAGTTTTAGAACAATGTTTAAAAAATAGTACAAATAATATTTAAATATGAAGTAGTTATGCAAAAATAAAATCACAGATTTATTCTATGTACTATTCTAAAACTATCATGACAATTTCATAAAAATTAAAAATTAAAAAACATACTAATTTTTTGTATAAGAAAATATTTATTTTTAAATAGATTTCTTTTTTTACATTAAAAGTATGAAATTACTATTTTAATGAATTAATAATGAACTTTGGTTTTTGTTTTTCAAAACTACAAATTATTCTTAAAATTGATATTATATTAATAATTTTATCTGAACCTCAAAATTTATAAATTTTTTATTAATTATACTTTTTGTGTGTATGTGTGTATATATATATATATATATATATATATATATATTCAAAATTTAAATATATTTAAATATATTTTTAAAACATTCAAATATATTTATATATCTAATATCTTTGAGTTCTATTTTAACTATCTTTTACTAAAAATAATATTAAATTATATATGTTGATATTTTATTTTATAATATATTATTATTATTATATTTATAAGTGTATATATATATTATATATTATATATATATAAGATTTATATTTTATATACAATATTTAAAATTATAATTTTTTATTCTAGTTTTGATTTAATTTTTGGGAGTTTGATATGGATGGCTAAAAGATCAGCAACTTGGATAAGAGAGGTTGGATTCTATTGTAGATAGAAAAAGTCTATTTTAAAAAGTATGAGCATTAGATCTTTTTAGTCTTGCATGATTGTATATGACTTTAGATATGAAGTCTTTTTTATTTATTTTTATTTACCCTTAATTATGTATAAAAATTTAAAGGTTTTATTTAATTCAAGTAGTAATTGTGTTCTAATATAAAAAATTATTTATTTAATTTAATTAATTAATAAAAAATAGATGATTGCATTAGAAGATCATTTTGCTTATGAAAAAATTTGAAAAGTTATGATTTGTAAATCTTTTGATTGGCTAAGATTTAAAGGTATCACTTAGTTGGATTTATACAATGAAAAATTAATCTATGGTTTTAAGAGGAAAATATGAGATAGATTGTATCTTTTTTCCTATATTGCATGAATAATGTTGTTGCTAAAAAAAATTTGTAGACCAACCTCAAGAGGTAGTTATTGCAAAAGTCCAAGAAGTTATATCGAAAATTGTTAAAAGTAACACTTAACAATAAGATTTTTCATGTTTGTAATATTTGTTAGAATAAAGATATGAGTTGACACATTTAGACTTATATAAAGAATCATTTTGGCCATTTTATGACCTCTTTTCACTTTATACTATTTCTAAGGACTAACACTTTCAAAGCAAAAAATTTCTTCATCAAAAAGAAGATTTTATAAAGCTTTGTACAATAATTTGTCAAAGTGGGCTACTACATACAAAGACTCCCTTACAAATAACATGGTTGTAAGTTATTCGTTTTTGCCACCATCACATGCAGATAGTCAGAAATTTTTGCTCGGAATCCTTTGTGCAACAATGTTGAAGTTAACAACATGGGGATGTCCATAGCCTTTTAAGGGACAGAACTAAAGGCTAGTTCAGGCACCGACTTATCATTATTGAAAGTTTTCATGTGCATCCTTCAACTAAAAGTAGCGTTTTTTGAAAAAACATCCTGGAAGCAAAATTTTACCACCCAGATCTTCAAAAAATTATGTGAACAACGTGCTACTGCCAAATAAACTGAAACACACGCAATATAAATATGTCACCACAAAAATCAAAATAAAATTCTACTTATTATTAGATAATCAACATGGATGGGGAAATTTTCCACATTTCCTGCACACACACACACACACACACAAGTGGTGATTTCACCACCGATTTCTCCACAGACTTTTCTCGCACAGGATGATTCGGCAGGCTCCAACTTGTTATGAATGAGTCAGTCAGTCAATCTCACATATTTATTTGATTTCTTTCTAATTTTGCACCTTCCTCATTCAGAACCTTACCACAAAAAGGGAGATTTTGTGAAGGTGGCATCGAGGTCATGAGATGGGATAGCCAGTAGAGCCCTGCACACACACAAAAAGCACAAATAGTCAAACATCTAGATGCTGTGCAAAACTAGTTTACCCGGGCCAGACTGTGATTTGATTCTACGTGGTGCGAGTTTGGCATCATATGCTGCAGAAACTTGACTTCGAAGTAAGAGTCATCGAACACAACAGTGAGTTTATTACGTGATAAATCTTGTGTCCAATTCCATATGGACAAAAGGTGGAGTGTCCAGATGGGCATTCCATTCTATTCTTATATCCATCGTCTTCACCTGATCCACTACCACTATCCCCGACTTCTTCTTCCTGGCTCAGATTCCCACACTTGCACACACTCTAAAGGAGCACAATCTAACCCACGTAGCATCTTTTTTTTCACTTTGTTCTGGATCAGGTTGCCATGGTGGCACCCTCGTGCACCCACATCCTCGGCATCCTCAGTCCCTTTTCGGCGTCCAATTTGTCAACTGACTGCTGCAGGCAAAAAACTAACGTAAAATCATGCCATAGCAAAGCATTTCCTTTCTTCACACCCAGCCAAGTTTTTTTTTCCCTCGTAGTTACCGAGGTGCATTCTGTTTTTTTCTTTCTTTCTTCTCCTTCTTCTTCTTCTTCTTCTTTTTATTCCCATCCACCACATGTCAATCGCATGAAAGGAAGTAATTAAGAAAACGGGGTGAGTTAGAAGCACTTCCTAGTAGGCTGTCAAATCTGCAACTAAGTCTGTTTACGGAGTAGTAAAATCTGGTTGATTTTACAGTCCTTTTTGCCAATCGTAATCAAAGCTACAAGACACATTCAAGTGCATGGTGGATCGTCTACAGGAGAGTCGCCATTCGTGACCATGACAAGTGTGCGGTTAATTTCTCTTCACCCGAAATTGTGCAGTCCTTTTCCTGCATGAACCCTCCCCCTACCCCTTCAAAATTCCTGTGGCATCCGCTGTTTTTTTTTTTCTTTACTAGGCATCCTCTGCAAGCTCCATTGCTTGGCCCCACAAGTCTCAAAACGAGTAGAATCCGTGGCAGGCGAGAATATCAATTCCTAGGTTTTATTTCGAAGTGTGCACCAGAGCTACTACTAGAATGCAAGGTAAAGCAGGCAAAAGTGGGTGAAACCCCCTATTAGACATGAATGTTCTGCAAAGTCGCTCATCTCCCCCCATTCAAGAGTCTCCGTTCTTGGTTGTTGCTCCTGAAGTTCATTTATTCCCAGGTTCCTCTCCGGGGAGCAGAGGAGCGTGGAAGGACTGTAAAATCAACCAGAGTAGGTGAGAGTTTTGTGAGGTTAGCGGCCTCAAAAGCCAGAGGTGACACGTTGCAGACAGAAATTAAGCACGGAAGTAGGCAAGTTGTTACAGTTGACCCTCGACTCCGGCTGCTGCCAATTGCGTGTTAAATCCTGCTGCCCACTTGTTGTGGCTTCTTTTCTGCCGCTTTCTCCGATTGCTGTCTCGCCTTCGTAGACTGTGTGTAGATAGCTGAAGCTTATCGCTTCGTGGGTCTCTGTGAATCTGTCGGTTTGAGCTTTGAGTTTCTGGGGTGTGCAATACCCAGTTCGCGATTCTGAAGGCTGTTCACGAGTTTGCCGGCTCAATTTGCCTATGTTGGAGAGCGGTTGGATTTCTGTCATTTTGTTTAGTTTATCGGCCGAGTTGTTTCCTGTTGCGGCCGAGGTGTGATTTTGTTCTCTGAACGAGTTGAATTGGAATCCAGGAGAGTCCTGCTGTGATACTTGGAAACCTGTAAATTGACGCAGTCGATTCTGCAGTAACTCAATGTCTTATCGAAATTGAGATGGAGTGAAGGCCTTTAAGTTGGCGCCATGGTGTAAATGAGTCTCTCTATCTTTCTCTCGGTGCGGGAAGAAATTTCGTATATGAAAAAACCACCCGTTTTTAAAGTACGACAACTTGCACGCGTGACCGGAGCTGCATACCACCGATGTTCATGAGGTAGAATTGAGTGTGTGAAAGTGGTATATGATTTGAGTGTGCTCGAAAACCTGTAAGTATTCTTGTCGCAGCAGAATTGTGTTCTGCAAAGACCTCATCTGAAGGATTAGCTGACAGACAAGATCATGTCGACGATAAAGGAAGCTCCAGGACCGAGGCTCTCTCCCTACTTGCAGTGTTTCTACGGCCTCTTCAATTTGCTATTCTTGTGCGTTATGATCCTCAGTTTCTTGAGTGTGAGCGGCACTTTTTCAAGGTCTCCTGAGGCTCAAACCTCAAATCTTACCACCATCTCTCGGTCCTCTCTGCTACACACGAACATCGTCCCCACGCAGGGATCCTCCACGTCTGCTAGAAGTGTCATTGATACGATTTCGTCATGCTCCATGGACAATTGCTTCAATTACTCGCGGTGCGACAAGATGGAGGAGCTGCTGGTCTACCACTACGACTCACAATATTCTCCGGATTGGTACTTCAAGGACGCCTTGAAAAGGAGCCCTTACTACACCACCAATCCGGCGGAAGCTTGCCTGTTCCTTGTCGTGGACAGAAGGCGAGTAGGTGGTCCGCCTCTGAGCCGGCTACCTTACTGGAATCACGGCCTCAACCACGTCGTCATCTCCGTCGTGGATAAGCCCAGGAACCCTGACGCACGGTCGATTGAAATGGCGTCCACAATGACGTCCATCACCCACCAAACCATATATCGTGCAGGATTTGATGTCAGTGTTCCTCTCCCGCAGAGAAAGTTTTACCCTAATTTGCAGAGACTGTCGGCGATGGGCAGGAAGTATCTCTTGACTTACAAGGGGAATCGCTGTTTGGAAGTGGGTTCTCGCGGGGGCAGAGTCTGCATCGACCCAGTTTTGAGAGGCATGCACAACGGGAAGGACATCGTTGTCGTTACCACTTGCAAGCAGGTACTTACACACCTTTTTCGGACTTTTTGCTGGCATCTCCACAGAAAAAGGGTGTTTCCTGCTTCAAAGGGGTTTTTCGCTGCTTTCAAGTCTGAACTTTTTTTGTAACGATGGTGCTGATGCTTCTTGGCCCTTCCTCTCAACTGCAGGTTTCGAGCAACGAAGTCGCTAAAGTGGAAGCCCGTTGTGCGAAGGACCAATTCGTGTATGATCAGTACAAGTTCGACGACTTGATCAATTCCACATTCGCTCTAGTTCCTGCCGGGAGTGGAGTGAGCTCATATCGTCTGATGGAGGTTTTGTCTGCAGGTTCGATCCCCGTCGCAATTTCTGAAAGTATTGTCCTTCCATTCGACTCACTCATTGAGTGGAGGCGATGCTTGTTCGTGTTTCCTCCCTCCCAGATGCATAGAATCGTGCCCACTCTGCAAACCCTCAACAAGGACGAAATCGAGTTCAGGCGAGAGCACTGCCTCTTCATTTACCGTCAGTTTTTCGGGAGTGACGACAAGGTCGTGGCCACTACCGCCATGGCGTTCAAGTCCAGGTTCTTTGGTGTACTCCCCAAGCTCATCCCCAACGTTCCTCTTCCTCCACGACACTTGAGTTTGAAGCAGCAGCAGCAACAGCAGCCTAATCTAAAGCTTCAGTAATCTGCCGGAGCTCTTCGGAAGTGCAATAACTTCCGCAAGAGGTCTCAACGGCGTGTTGTACATTAGAATTCGGTGGATCCCCGCCACCAGCACAAGTTTTGGTCTCAATCCTCAAATGAGAGAAGAGTTATCAAGGAGGAATCGTCAACATAAAAGGTTTATGATTAAATCTATGAACAAAAAACAATAATCTCTGATGATTGAATGAAACTCGCACACAAGTTCGTCGACCTTGTGGAATTGTATCATAGAGTCGATGATTGGAAAGGGGGAGCTGCTTGGAGCTGTCTGTATGCAAAGACCGCCATCTGTTCCATTTAAACCTCATCGACCGAGCTTTCCTGTTACCCTAATACAGACGGCCTGATACTATTTCCTCTCAGAGGAACTGCTTTTTTTATTTTGCGTTTACGACATGTTTGCCTTCACAACGCTTACCAGTAGTAGCTACTTGGAAAGTTTCTCATAATTGTCGGGTTCGAAAGTTTGGCATGACTTGTGCTTCTGTATGTAGGACAAAACACATTTCGATTGGTTGATTACCAACATATAGAGATCAATCACACATTTAATCGCATCTTATCTGGGTAGGTGTTGTTGGATTATGTGGTTGCTTGCCCACCTCGATTGAAACGACTGGAGGCATATTAGTTATGAGGTCACTAGCGATGGCGTCTGTTGATGTGCTGTGAGATGCTGCAAGGAGTCGGACAGGAGGCAGATGTTGACACTTTTCTTACGAAGAAAAGCCCTCTTGTCGTCCTGGTGATTAGAGACTAGTGTGTTCTATATCTGTTACCAAACTGCTTTTAAGCTGGCCCCTCAATGCTTACGTAACCTTGCAAGGTGGACGTAAACTGACGTCTACTATGGGGACAATAATACTTCAAAATGAGTTTTATACTTGAGAGCAGCAATCAAAAGTATTCAGCATTGTCTCTGAAAGGAGTAAAAAGCCAAGCATTTTCGTATAACCAAGATGATTGTATTTCTAGGGTAAATAACCGGTAACTGATTGAACTCATGAAAGCTCAACTGTAACCAACAGAAAAAAATTGCATTACATATTCAAAATTTATATTGCCAAATTCTTCCAGAGCATACTTTTCATCAGTCAATTAGAAACAGGTGACTTTCAACTGTAAAGAGTCTTCAACGACGTCATTTGACAACGCTGTAATCCCCCCGCATGTTCTCCGCTGTTGCAGCAACTTAATTACAAATGCAAGCAAAGCTGGAAAACTAACCCCAATTAGTAGGTTGGACTAGATCATAACCGCCATATATTAGAGGCGAAAAAATTTTCTTCACTCCTGCCTCAGAGGCGTGAATCTAATCAGCATGACTGATGCTCTTGAAGGGGATTCTGTAGTCTAGAACCAGCAGCTCCTGGCCGTTTCAACGCTAAAACAAAGAATTAGGGCGAATTTGATACATACTTCGTCAAGACTCCAGTAAGTATCGCCCTCTCTTTAGCCTTTAGCCTGCAGTCACCAACAACCAAGAACGAAAAGTCAGACTAAAACTTATAAAACTTACTGAAGGTGGTCTGCAGAGGCAGACATAACGCATTCAGGTGTTGATGTTTTCTTGACAGTGGTGTCAACTGCGTACAGTTCACTGAATGCTAAGGATAGTGAAGTCAAACAGTGTTGCTAAACAACTAAGGGTTGATTCAGGTAATTTTCTCACAGCTTCCTTGGGTACGGCAGTGCATGTATTGCGAGTTATAGAAGAAAATGCATAGTAGGAAAAAAAGGCAATTTTCTTCAAACTCTTCTAGTCCAACAATGACCGACATACAATAAATGACGCGATCTATAGAGGTAGAGGTAAATTGAACCTGCTCGCCGAACCAAGGCTCCCAATCTTCGGTTTGTCAGACTTAGACTTAGTTTTCGTCTTCTTTCCTGCTTTAGATGACTGCTTTGCTCCTGCCTTCTTTCTCTCACCCTCTCCTCTAGCCGCAGAGACCCCAACTGCTGATTTCGCCTTGCTCAGAAGCCTTTTCTCCAGAAGCTCTATTCTCTCTTCCTCGTCTTGAGTCGATAACGCAAGCTTCATTTCCATTTCTCTGACTTTAGCCTCTAACTCTCTGATTTTTTCTGCGGAGAAATCGTCGTCATCTTCGTCTTCATCCTCATCCTCCTCGTACGACAACTGCACTGCCTTCTTAACTGATGCCCTCAAATTACTGCCTTCCCTTCTATTAAGTGTAGTATCCCTTGGAGATTCTACGGATTCAGATAGAGCATGCTCATCCACTGATGACCTAGAATATGACGGCTCAATCTCATCGTTATCCTCCTCCGCAATGCCCTCTTCCACTGAAAACTCCATGTCCAGTGCCATGTCGTCTTCATCTTCGAATTGATCCCAGATTTCCTCTTCCAATGCACGCAACTCGGTTTCACTTGTATCATCGTCATCATCCTCTTCTTGTCCCTCTACTTCAAATAACATAGGCTTAGCATTTTTCACAGCGTTACCGTTGAACTCGTTTTCCGATAACCTGATAGGAGTTGATGGAAGCCTAGATTCATTGGTGGAATTTATGTCTCTCACTTGCAACTTTGGAGCAGAGATGGAACTTGAGGTGCGATTGGGCTTGGGATGAAAGGGGCTGTTCGACTTAGCCACCTCGCAGGCAACCTTCTTCTCCACCCTCCCAAATTTCACTTTCACCCCGTCGTACATCGAGGCAAAGCTGAGAGGTTCAGACGCATTGCAATAGCTCAGTATGGCTCCACCCAAATAGCCACCCTCAAAACACACGTAGATCGAAATTCATCTTAGCGACGATAGCATGAAAACTTTTCCCATGAGATATACACTCCTGAATTAATCAGAAGGCTTATATAATGACAAGGAGCTAACTTACTCATACGCGTCATCTTCAGTAGCAAACGTGAAGAAGGCAAACCCGCGGCACATAGGGTCGCGTGTCTTCTCGTTTTCGGGCTCCACAACAGGTCGAATGTGTAATAGACCTGGAGCGTTGCGGAATGCAGCACGCAAGTCCCTATCCACCTTCCTCTTGCGTGGTAAATTGCCCACCCAAACTTCTACACCAGCAGGTGCTTCTACAGACCCAAGTGTGAACAAGTTAGGTTTTATTTAATTAACGGGAAAGTAACTACAACAAGCTCGACAGAGAGCAGAGAAAGAGTGAGGATATGTGCAACTATCATCTTCGAAACCAGAAAGCGGTCAGTGGGGAAAATCCATAGGAATTATATACTGCTATTATACACCTGTAAATGAAGAAAAATGTGCCACACCTGTCACTTTGGATGCTTTCTGTTTCTTTTTGGGTTGGCTTGCTTGTCCTAAACCCTTTCTAGCTTTCGCCGCCTCTCTTGCCTTCCTATCAGCTTCAACTTCTGCTAACAATTTTTCCTCCAAAGAAAGGTCGTACACCTGATAAAAAATAAAACAAAATAAAAAACAAAAAAACCTTAACTTAACTCTGAGGCGCACTCAAGTACACATCCCTATTCGCATGTCGGTTCATTCATACAGTTCACCAATTCCCTCAAAGGTTTGAAAAATCCTAAACCCCAGTCTTTGCAAATTCAAAAACCCTGAACCTCAGTTCCTGAATTCACTGCCTCGCAATTGAAGTATGTACGCACAACCAGAATGATAACACGACAGTACCATATCGGTTGATTGCATACGAAGGGGCACAAGAAATGGCGCCTCGGAACTTACCTTGCCAATGCCAAAACCTGCCGGCCTGTTCCTCATCCACTCCTCCATGTCAACAACGTCGTCTGGGATTGTATCCTCGCTTTCACCAACGTCGTCGAGGAAGAAGTCCATTTTCTCACGCCTGCCCTTGGCAGCCTTCACGACAACCCGAGACCTCTCACTAGAAATCCATAAAGAATGAGAGGGTCCCGAAAGAGAGGAAATAGGAGAACAAGCAGAACAAGCATCAGTAGTGAGAGATGTGCAGAGAGGGTCGAGACGTGGAATGGGCTGGAGGAAGGATAAGGCCGACATCGCCATTGCAAATGTGTGCAAGCAACGAACTGTACCCTGCTACAACAAGTGGTAGAGCTTGTACAGAACGAGAAACAAACCCAAATACTCAGAAAACTCTCGAAAAATGGAAGGAAAATCTTAAGAAGAAGAAGAAGAAGAAGAGGAGGACAGTGAAGCAATGTGTTGAGAGATTCAGCATTCAATCCTACAATCTAAGCTGCAAAGGAGCGAGAGAGCAATCAACAATGTGTTGGCGAGACAGCCCTTGCTCCTGCACCCAGGACCTTCTCCTCGGAAGCAGCTCCTTCGACGTATCTTATCCGGGTTCTCTCTGTCCAGGATATGGGAACTCTAGCTGACAGTATGGGAACCCTCGGGGAACAACTCCGGAAACCAAAAGTGCTTTGTCCGACGTGGACAGTTAGAATGCGCGGTTTCTTCATCGTTTTTCATTTCTGCTTGCATTTTTCATGTTCAGAATTGAGTTCACAACAGCATACGATCTCTGTAATTAACACATTCACTTTTTCAGGTGAATCGCTGCTTGTGTCCATGACAAGTTCAGAATACAGTTTACGTCGCCTACTGTGAGGTAGGTCGAGTTGCGCACAATGAAGTTGGCGCAAGAAACAACAATCTGAAGAAAGCGCACACCATCACGATCACCAGTAACAAAAAATAGGACGCACAAAAGACATGTTCGTAACGTAAGTAAGACTTGTGGACGAATGGCGAGGAAGAACGTGCGCACGACACGAAAGGCACCTCTACAGACGATGTAAAGAATTACGCTCCAGTCTACCGTGTTTGCGCGAGCAAATTATGTAGCCTGGTGGAATCGTTCCGACTCGAGCAACCACATTGAGTAAACAAATTTCGAAGTCGTTATTGAGGCAATGAAAACAGAGGAATGCAACTTCAACCGTCGCAGCGCCCACAAGGTGATTGAAATGTCTCCGTCATTGCTGATCTGGAATTTGAGGGATATCGACGGGCTGAATGATAATATATGCTAGAATAACCCCCTCGTTATCTCCGTCTTCGTTGTCGTATTGATCTTACTCCTAGTCTCACTCTTATACGAATTTATATTAAATATTTGTTAAAACTAGGTTTCTTGCAATTCCAATTTAACGTTTCAACATGCATGTGCGATTGATTTGCATTGTAAGATTATTGTTAATAACTTTAAAGATTGTAATGTAGGTGTTGAGTATTGCAAACATATTTTAAACCAGTGAAAATTCTATTTTTTTGGAAATTTTAAAGCCACCATAATGAATGAATATATATATTTTTTATTTTCATTAAGAATATTTGTACAATCTTGCTAAATAAGATGTAGTAAACTATAATACTAATTTGTGCAAAATCCACACTTATATTTAAGTCATGACTAAAACACAATAAAAACTTGTTAAGAACCAATTAGAGATTATTAATCTATTTTTATGTGTGTATTTATTATTAATATTATTATTATTATTATTATCATATTTTAATATCAAAATTAAAATATTAATTAAAATGTAGACATATTTTGAGTTGTAATAGATGCATGATCCATACTGAAATCACAGAACTAAGATGTATTAGGATTTTATTTTTATTATAATTTTTTTGATACAAAAAGCATATATTATTTGCATTAATTTTAATTTTTATAAAGAAATTACAAAGGTATCTAAGATCATAAGACCCTACCCTTAAGAGTGGAATTTTAAACAACACTACTAATCATTCTAATCACACTCAATTAGGTACTATTTGCAGATTTATGGATTATAATATCTCTTGATCAAGGTCTAAAGTTCAATCTAAGTGACAATTCTATTTGTCTTCTAAAGATTTTGTCCCAATATTTATCCCAATCTCTCAAAAAGGCCTTACCACTATATCACATTCTAACATATTTGCTTATATAAAGTTTTTATTTTAGATATCATTCCATATCTCATTATTAAAGGACTTGGCATCTTTTTTATAGTCATGTTGTTTATAGATAAAAACCTCAAAGTAGAGACTCAATCATCTAAAAAATTTTAAAAAGTGTATTTTTTTTTTCTTTGCAAAAGCGACTTATTTCCATGAAAAAATATTCTATAATGTCCATTTTATAGTTGTAATAAATAATTTATAGAAAATTTTTGTTGATCAATTCCACATTCTTTTTGATTGAGGATATTCCCAAAAATCAACCTAAATTGTTCAAGAAGGCCTATATTACACATTTGATAATTACTTGAAGTATTTGGATTAAATTATGTGCTCTACTAATTGATTGCAATTCTTTTATGATAAATTAGCCATAGAAGCATGGATTCCTTATGTACATGTGATTGTAAGTAGATATCTTTCCAATCAATCAAGAGAGTTGATTTAAAATACTCCTTCCACTTAAAAACAATAAAGTTCTACAAAGCACATTTTTTTATACCTAGTTTGCATCATTATTTATTTATTTTTTCTATAAGCAAGAATGTTACAATCTTTATTCTATACATGATCTTAAATTTTAGAGAGGAAGTTCGATTATTTCTTAAAAAGATAAACAATTATACATTGATTACATACATATTAATAATAATATTAAGTTAAATAGATACATAGTATTAATATTGAAGAACATATTTTATGCTATTGGTTATTTTAAAGTATTTAGCATTTAAATTATTACATCTAATAAAAAAAAATTAGATTACTAATTATTTTGATAAAAATTGATTCCTTTGAATTGAATATGATCTTTATAAATTAAAAATATTTCTTGCAAAATCTCAAAAAATAGTACATTAAATTCTAGCAATCATTTTATAATGAAAATGATATAAAAATAATATTATTTTAAAAATATATATGTAATTTTATTTTATAATTTTATTAATATTAATATTTATTTAATTATCAATAATCTAAAATTCAAAAAGATAAAGAAGGCAAACAAGCTAATAACTGAGTTTTAAAATGTATCTTTTAATATTATAAAAATATAAATTAAAGCTAATATATTAGACTATGATTATAAATATTTATATTGGTAGAAAAAATAAAATTTATTACTTGAGCAAAATAAATGTTATAAGAGTTGGTTCTCATTTTATTAAATAAAAATAATAATTACTATAATATCCTAATTTATAATCTTATCCTTGAAAAATAAATTTTCTATAGTAATATTTTAAATATCATAAATACATACATAAAAATTTATTTAGAAATACCAAAGAAATTTGTAAAAATAGACTAATTTTGAAGTTACTTAAACTAAAAATAAATCATTGGGTCTAACTTTTGAATAAAAAATAACTTTTAAAATAAACCAAAAAGTTGAAATGAGAATATATTCTTATTTTAATTATTTTAATTATTTTTTGTTTTTATTTTTAAAATAGCTGTTTTACGTCTATTAGAACATAGAAAATTAATTTTTTAGATTCACAAAGACCTTCTATATTTGGAAGTTTGAAAACCCCTTATTTACAAATAAATTAAGGCATCGTTAGTAGACACCGTTCTTTTATTGTATGGATATTCCATAGTGCTATCGACCTTTGCATACACATCTCCACAAAAAATTATGGTTTTAAATACAATATTTTATATTTAAAAGTGATGAAGAATAAAAATAATAATACACAATCTTTTATGTTTTTTCAATCAAAAAGTTAAATTGAAAAAGGTTTGTAAGCACAAAAGGGTTGAAGGCTGAAATAATCTGGAGCTATAGAATATAGATAGATAATGGTATATCAAATTTAGGTATTAGAGTAAAAATTTTAATAAGAATCATGGTTGGAATTATTTTTGGTGGGGATATTTTTGTTAGAATATGTGGCATGGAGGCTAGTTGTCTACACAGTAAAAGAGGTGTCCACCTAACGATTCTCATAAATAATAATAATAATAATAATAAAACCAATATTAGTGGATAAATATGAAAACCTAAACACAAGAACTTGTATCTTAGTATCAAATATAATATTAAATTTGTATTATGTTTAAGAAACCATTGTCTATTTTGCAACCATTTTCTACTGTAAATCTTAGATACTATTATATTTTTAACCTTTTTAATCTAATACTATTAATAAACAGTTTTAAAAATAAAAACAAAAATAATTATATTTGGGATCTTTTAAAAATGAACCATCTATTATTTTTTATTTGGTTATAATAAGAAATCATCTTTTGTTTAATTTCAACAAGATGTTAAGTAGATATGAAGGTTTAACTTATATTTTTACTTATAAAATGCCAATTTTTTAAAAAATTAAACCTTAATTTTTATGTAAAAATACATATATACATACATACATACATACATACATCAAAATATAAAAAAATATACATAAATTTTAAAAATTTAACACAACATTTTAATAATATTATAGCTGTTAAGCTTTAGAATTTAAAACAAGTTAATCATTTTAACTTCAAATATGTTTTCAATCATAAATGAACTTAAAGCTATTTTAAAGAATATTTGTTTTGATAAATTTTAATAATTTCATATGAAAAAAAAATCAAGCGAAATATAGTTATATCAAAAATAAAATTAGATATACTTAAATAATAAAAACTGTAAAAATAACTATTCAATCAATCCTTAATTATCAAAAAATAACAAGATACATTTTAGTTTTCTAAATAGTACCATAAAAATCGTCTATTTCAATTGCAATTGTAAAATCACAACCATGTAAGAAAGTTTTACCAAAAAATGTGTAAAAAAAGACTTATTAGATTATACTTGTTGATCAAAATATATACAATTATTAATATTAGAAAATATATATAAAAAAATTATGGATGATTATTTTATATCTGATAACCTTTGTTGTTAAATTTAAACACATTGCTAGAGAGTGCCTTCCAAATATTTATAATAATATAGTATGCACTTTTATTTGAAGTAGGAAAAAGGTTTGCAATCAAATATAATTTGTAAGTCTTTAGTTTTTAATTAGTCTTTATTATTTGAACAATAACATGATTAATATTACTTTAATATTACTAGAAAGTTACATGATCAATTACTAGAAAGTTAAAATTTTTATATATGATTTATTAAATAAATAATTTATGATTTAATTACATATTTTTATTTATTTATTTATATTTTTTAAAAATACCAAAGTGCTTGCAAAATATTGATGTTGTATATTAAAGAAATGGTGGTTTTTATTCTTATGCTTAATTAACTTTTAGAAGTTGATCCAAAATTTATCAATATTTTTGCTACATAATAAATTCAACTATGCTGAAAAATTACTAGATTTTAAATATTTTATTTGAATACTTCTATACTTCAGTATGTAACAAAAAA